CGCTTCACGCTGAATCAATGTCGCACGATAAGGAAATAAAGATGGGAAAAATATCCTAAATGTCATGTAGCCTCTCGAGGATAGATATGGACGTCATCATACCGATCCGCAAGACTCTACTAGACACTTGCTCATGACTTGTAGAACCTATAAACCTAGAGCTCTGATACCAATCTATCACGACCCAAAATCTACCAGTCGTGATGCCACCTAACCCAACCCGCTAGGTAAGCCAGTTAACAATTATCCAATTTCCTTTAACCTAATAAAGCATTTAAACACTAGAATTATCTAAATCTGTTATATTTTCCAAGGACTGGTAGTAAAAATTATGAGCTTCTAAGAATAGAGTTTACAAAGCAGATATGAAAAAAATACATCTTCTATTCGAAAATTACATAAACAGAGTTTATAAATCTAAGGCTACCGTGAATAAGAGGCATCTACAGCAAGAACGCAAGTACGCCTTCAAATCCAGCAACCATCGGTCGCAGCAACCTCAGCAGCCGGGATCTGCACGCAATGTGCAGGAAGTGCAGTATGATTACAACCAACCCCATGTACTCAAAAAGTAACAAACCTAACCTTAGGTTGAAAGCAGTGACGAGCTGGAACATAGGTCCGGTCCAACACAAATAACCAACAGTAGTTCATACAGTGTACATCAAATAAGTACAGAAATAGCTCAGAAATAAGGTGCTCAGCCTTTTCATAGATTTCCGAAAATAGTTCCACTTTTCAAGTATACCAACGAAAACCCAAATCCTCTACCAAAAACGTTAGAAATATGAGTAAGTTTTAAAAACTGTAGCTTTTTCTTGAAAATTTCCTTTCCACAATAGGTAGACATATTTTATTTCCTTTTTAAAATAACAAGTGTGAAATACCTCTTTATAACCACATATAAATGTATGTAAAAAGTCATGAGTGACGTGATATTGTACAGCATGAGAAAAAATACGTCTCTATGTATGTATGCCATATGTGCATGTCAATTCCATGTACCTTAGAGATGAATCATGTACTCACACTCTCAGAGTACTCATCCTCACTGTATCACACCTGCCACTCATCATAATCAACCACTCGGTACTGTATATGGCCCATACGGCCCAGGGAAGATCCATCCCGGAATATATACATCACTAACTATAAGTCACCCAGTACCGAGGAACATGCCAATCCAGCCTCATGGAGAAGATCCATCTCCATACCAAGGGAAGATCCATCCCTGAATATAATCAACCGCGCTCACTAGGGGTGTGCAGACTCCGTAAGGGCTCCTACAACCCAAGTGTTATAATCTGCACGGACAACTCACGTGCTATAACATCAATATCGGAATCCGCACGGATAACTCACGTGCTGTACGGACAACTCACGTGCCATAATCTCAACATCTCATAATCAGGACCTCAGCCTCACTCAGTCATCAATCTCTCCGGTCTCACTCACGGGCTCACAATATCATGAAAACTGACCCGGAATAATGATATAATGTATCAATAAGTAATAACTGAGACTGAGATATGATATGAATGCATGAATGTGAATAAGTACGAAATATCAATGAATTCAATGAGATGACAGCAAGAAACAACTACTATGGGTCCCAACAATAACAACATAAAGCCTAAGCATGATATCTAGCATGATTTGACAGCTCAGATACTTAATCACATGATGAAAATATAGATATCAACAAGAATAGAGCCATTATTCAGTGCCCTGGGAACAACATAGTCCCAATTCACAAGGTGCACGCCCACACGCCCGTCACCTAGCATGTGCGTCACCCCAACACCAATCACATAGCACATAATTCGGGGTTTCATACCCTCAGCACTAAGTTTAGAAGAGTTACTTATCTTAAACCAGCCTATTCCGACGCCGAGCAAGCCAAGCGATGCTCCAAGAATGCCATCACGCGCGTAGCGACCTCCGAACGGCTCAAAACTAGCCAAAGACAACTCAAATACATCAGATAATGCCCAAGGAAGCATTTACAATCGATAAAAATCGAATTCGAAGTCAAATCCCAATCTGGCCAAAAATCACACCCGGGCCTACGCCTCGAAACTCGACAAAACTCACAAAATCCGATAAGTCATTCAATTACGAGTCCAATCATACTAGTTTCACTCAAATCCGACTCCAAATCGGGGTTCAAAATTCAAAAATTTATATTATGAAACTTTAGGCCAAAACCCCCAATTTTCTCTTTCAATTCACCAATCAAAAGCTAAAATCAAAGATAGATTCATGAAATATAACCAAGACCGAGTTAGAATTACTTACCCAATGATTTCCTTGAAAAACTCCCGAAAATTCGCCTCAAACCGAGCTCCCAAAGTCCAAGATGTGAAATAAAACCCTAAACCTCACTTATATAGTGCTCTCTGAACTTCCAGTCCGCGGTCCGCGTATTTCTCACCGCAGCCGCACAATCACTACTACGGTCCGCGAAATTCTACCACGGCCGCACAACCTCACCGCGGTCCGCGAAATCCTGTCGCAGTCGCATAGTGCCATCGCGGTCCATGAAATTCCCTCCGCGACCACACTTCCAAGATCCAAGGCCTGCAACTTTCCAACACCAAATATCAGATATTTCCGACTTCCAAAGCCAAATAGTGATCCGTTAATCACCCGAAACTCACGCGAGGCCCTCGGAGCCTCGATCAAACGTACCAACACATCCCACAACATCACTCAAACTTGGTTGAACCTTCGAATCGCTCAAAACAACATCAAAACACCAAATTACATTCGGATTCAAGCCTAAGAACCTCTAAATTTCCAAATTTCACAAGCAACGCCAAAACCTATCAAATCACGTCCAAATGACCCCAAATTTTGCACACACGTCACAATTGACACTACAAACCTTCTCCAACTTTCGAAATTTCATTCCGACCCTGATATCAAATCCACTGCCAACCAAAAATCGCCAAATTTTCAATTTCGCCAATTCAAGCCTAATTCCACCACAGACCTCCGAATCACATTCCGGACGCGCTCCCAAGTCCCAAATCACCCAATGGAGCTAACGAAACCATCAGAAATCCAATCTGAGGTCAAATATTGCAAAGTCAAACCTTGATCAAACCTTTCAAATTTAAAGCTTCTAGCTGAGAATCATTCTTCCAAATCAAATTCCGAATAACCTGAAAGCCAAAACCGACGATTCACATAAGTCATAATACATCAAACGGAGCTAGTCATGCCTGAGAACTGGCGAGCAAAGTGCAAATGCTCAAAACGACCGATCGGATCGTTACACATATTCATGCAATCACACTATAATATTTATTCTCTTTATTTTGATCAAACCTCCCTTAAAGGTTAGTTGTGGTATTATCCAACCATGCATGAGCATGCTCTTATTCATAATTTTTATCATATATATATTTTCACATTCGTTTCAAAGAATGGGTTTGCATTCAAAATGCTTATAACAAGTCACATTCTCTTTAAGGAATGGACCATAATAATATTATTGTTTTTCCCATCACATTGATGGTAAATATTGCTTTCACCTTTTGAAGGATTATTTTGAGAATTCTTATTATTTTTTCTTTTATAATATCATCATGATGACTATCATTATTTTAATCTTTGGCATGCTAACGTTCATTGGTCAACCACTTGTCTTCATTTAGACTTATTATGCATTGCTACCACATTCACTTCAAGAATGAAGCAAATCAAGTGGGACAAGCTTCACGTTTTTTCATGAAAAATATATTATGCATTGCAATTCTATCAAAGACGTAGTTTAGAATAAGTTTCCCGCTAGAACTTATTCGGACTTATTACCATAATCACGTATTCCGAAAGCTATATTGCTCACTAGATTTGCGATTAAAGGTGCATATTGGTATAATAGCAGAAAGATGAAAGTATGCAGCATTACTGGTATATCATGTTTACTTAATTAGGATCCATTCTGTCTTATGATCAAATTTTATCTAACGTGGAGATTCCAATCTCAAATAATCAGAAAAGAAAATTATTATATTAGGCCAAGATAGAGCATAAAAAGAAAAGAGTAATATTAATATTCCTTAGGTGGGAGCGCAAGGAAATAATAAATTTGTACCTTCTCTCGTAAGGGGGTTTCGTCGATAGAGATTATATAGCCAACCGTTAGCAAATCCCTTTTGATTTCGTCAAGCGCTGAGCGCATTATGGCGTGAGTTAGCTACGTGATAGTAGTATGAGTCTGTTGTGGGTGAAAGGTGAGCCTAGTGCTGATTAAGAAATTAAGCTCAAATGGTAATAATATGAAATAAGAAAATAGACAATAGATGAAGAGAAGAAGAAACAACTTTCTTATTCAAGTATTTTTAAGTGTGTACAATATGATGCCCAAAACCTCTATTTATAGGATGACATTAAGGTAATACAAAGGTATGTCATGAATATGGTATTAACTATTGAGATCATGAGGGAAGATCATGGAGATGTAGGAGTTACAACTAGAATGGTGAGAAGTAGTGGGGGTTATCTACATAATAGGAAAGAGTAGTGAGAGTTATATTTGATTAGTGAACATCCATATAATATGTATTTCATAACATGAACACTTTAGTTCTTCCCCCTAGGGTTGTCTAGATAACACTAATGAATTCATATTCTAGGTAATAAATAAGGGGGTAACATAATTTCCATAATTAATGTGCAGTGCTAGCAACATGTATCCTGTCAATCTGGAAAGGTATGCAGAAGATCTGTTTTGGTTTCCCACCCGTTGTATAATACACAGGGGTCGAGAACCCTACTTCTAAAGATAGATAGAAATGGTTAGGGGGTCCCGAATGTTAAGGTGGCGTAATAACAAGTGAGAGCAATAACAAGCGAAAGATCCTGCAGTAGCATATTCGGAATCCAAATTTGCTCCACGTAAGGCCAAATGGCCTCCAGGCTCCGGGTAAAAGGCTATATCTTGCAGCATCAACTTTCAATTCAATTAATGGGTATAAAAGTGCACAACCATCTCAAAAACCCAAGTTCTTCCTTATAGTGAAAAAAGAATCAATATCAAAATCCACATCTAGGAACAAAAGGTTTTAAATGATATGGTCTTCACTGGATAATTGCATCTAACTCAGCTAATGATTAGAAATCTCTGAGTAGTTGCCTAAACGGCAAACTGTCTCTGAGGCCAATCAATGCATTTTGATTTGACATCAAACTCTCCTCTGTAAAAATAGTTTGCACAGCTCAACCCACCATCCTGAACAAATAACCTATGGCAGGCAATGATCATACACTACATTACAACATCAAATTTTCTCGCAGTTCATCGTGATGCCTATCTATTTCCATGAAAAACATTCAGCCATTGGAGAACCTTCTATTTAGGCATATGTATGACGCAGCGCAAACAAGTCCCGCTTTTCATCAGATCAAAAGCTTTGTTTATCTCCTCAAATGGCAGGTTATGTGTTATCAAGTCATCTATCTCAATTTCCTGCAAGCAAAACCTCACAATGGCTTAATATTCCAATGTTGAAAGTCCTTTGGAGTAAATAAACACGACGTCCAAAGGTTTCAACAAGTTGCAAAAACAGTGTAACAGTCTACCTTCCTTAGGTACATGTCAACCAATGAAGGAATTTCAGACTTCGGTTTCCATCCTCCAAATAGAGATCCTGTCAATGTTCTACCGGTAAGAAGAAGTCCATAATGAGCTGTTATCTCTGGCTTCAGCTTGGGTACTCCAAGTGTGACGGTCAAGCCCCATCCCTAACACAAATAGGAGACGACAGAAAATTGCGGGTATAAGAAAGAGAAACAAATCTCAGAGAATGCCGGAGACTACTGAAATGGGGTCTCTACACTTACATCACAACATGATTGCAATGCAGTGGTAATCATTCCTGTATCTCCTATACACTCAAATGAATAGTCTGCTCCTCCATCAGTTAAGCGTTTTATAACCTGGAATTAAAAAGTACTTGGAGTTTACGAAAGGAAAGCATAGCCTGAGCATGAACAAAACTGGTCCACTATGTATGCTATTTGCAAACAATATTGTTTTAGTTGACGACGCTACACAAGACGTTAAACAAAAGTTTGAACTTTGAATAAACATTCCACATAGTAAGGGTTTAAGGATAAGTAAAGATAAGAAATGATATATACACTGCGAATTAAGCCAGCATAAGACGAACCAAGTATAGGTGTTTATTGGATGGGATAGCAGTGCATAAATTAAGACAATTCAAATATAAGCTCAATGGTCTAGGTGAATGGTCAATAGATGAAGATATAAAAAGATAAAATAGAATGTTGAAATTGAGGAGCACTACAGAAATGTTATGCAATAGGAAGATACCTAAGTGCGGCAAATTCTGTTGGCCATATTTAAGACCATCGATATTATACGGGATTGAATGTTGGGTCTCTAATTCCCAACCCTCCATAATATGAGTATCGTACAAAGCGGATGTTCATATAGATATGTGGTCACACAAGATTGACAAGATAAAAGAAAATTATGGAATATGCAAATAGCACAAATAGAGGAGACCTCAAATGTCTCAAATGTACCAGTTTGTAGGTATGATACCAAGATTTAGAGAGGGTAGAGGCAGATTCAGGATTTAAGCGCTATGGGTTCTACATTTAGGTTTTTACCATCAAACCCATTATATTTTTAAGGTTATGGGTTCATATCTATTATTTATTGTAATTATAGTGAATTTTTATACATAAATTTATGCTCCACACCAAAAGTACTGGATTCATATGAACCCCGTGCCTCCAAGCTCTATCCTCCCCTGAGAAAGGAGGCAAGTAGACCTAAAGCCACATAGAAGGAAGTTGTCTTTGTAGACCCACAATCACACAAAATATATGCAGCAGTCATGAAACACATAACATAATAGAAGCTAAAGAACCATAGGCGTTAGTGCTTAGTCATACTGGTAAAACATTAGGTCTAGTATTTGCTAAAAGTCATTTTAATCTGTTTCGAGATTTGTATGTATTAGAAATTAGAAAATGCAAGAAAACCTCTATTAGATAATCCCCAAATTATTGCGTATTGGAGTGAAACAGGTCCAAATAGAGCAAAATGAAAGTGAGAATTTATATAGACGGTCCAACTAGCTCGAGATTGAGACATAATTGTTGTACTGCTCCTGTGTTGTTTTAGACAGCAAACATGATTGGCAAGATTCATGACTAATTAGCTGGGAGAAAGAATGAAACTAATTTACAAGCTTTTGCTGTATACATATCATGAAAAGTAAAACACCTGTGGGATGGGTTCATCAGTATCATTTGGGTTCAAAAACTCGGTCACTCCAAAAGCCTTTGCTGCACCAGAAAGGAAGAACATCAATAAAACAGGAAAACTTTTCAACATAAGTTTTGGAAAACATTTCAGGTTTTCAACTTTTTACAAGTCTGACGTGATACCTTTTTCGTATTTCTCTTGCATTGTGTCTACACCAATAATTTGAGATGCTCCCCTCATTTTAGCACCTTGTGCAACCTATTAGCACAATATCTAAGCATTTTATTATTTATCATTGTCAAGTTCTCCGGGAAAACATTTAGCCCATATTATGTTAACTGTTAAGCTTGGATCAATGTACTCACAGAAAGGCCTACAGTCCCAAGACCAAAAATGACCACTTTTGATCCTTCCGAGATATTTGCAACCTTCCAAGCAGCACCTAGACCTGATAATTGCATTTCAATTGTCAGGACTGGAGAATGGTTCATCTAAAATGTTCTGAATAACAAGTTAACGTAATGGCTAGTTGCTAAGTTATGCAGAGATAAATAGGTTAAGAATGAAAGTATCATCTATGAACTGAAGGAGGATTTAACCATTTGAAAAAAGCATTTCAAACAATAGACTGTCTACGATGCCATCAAGTAAGCTAGAATGCTAGTCGTCTTTCGACTCCAAAAAATCCTCTCCTGTGTGAATGGGTTTAGCATTTTACAGATTAAGTAAAACTATACATTTATGACGAGGGTGAAAATTTAACAAGCATAAAGTGAGGAAACCATTTCCGTCAAAGATTACCAAATTTCAGCATAGGGTCAAGAGTTTTTAACAGAAAAAAGATTATTAAAATCACATCCTTTTTCACAAATAGAGAAATATATGTTTCTTGAAATCAAAAATTTCAATATCCATAGTAGTAAAGAAGTAAAAAGATCAGCTGTGATTTAATTGAACAGTACTCCATAAGTTACCTGCTGCCGCTCCACAACTGAGGAGGCAGATTTTATCCAAAGGCGCATTTGAACTAACCTTGACTGCGCAACCAGAGTGTACAACCGTATATTCACTAAAACTTGAAACTGCACAATAATGATAAACCGGCTTCCCTTTTATAGAGAACCGCATCTTCTGATCACTATGCATAACACCTTTTCGTTCTAATCCAAGAACTTGGCAAATGTTGCTTTTGCCTGAGGTACAGTGTCTGCATCTCATGCATTCCCCAGTAAATAAGGTTAGCACATGGTCTCCTTCTACAAATTCAGTCACTCCTTGCCCTACACTCTCAACGATCCTGCCAAATTATTAACAAGAATGAAGCTTGATTCTATGTTCAGAAATGAGTAAGACAGCTAAGAGTTTTTGGGAGATGAACCATTGCACATGCTGACAAACTGGGAAATTAGAGAAATCCAACTCAAAAAACCATTGGTCATTTCGTACAACATGACCATTAGTCCTTTGGGGAGAAGCATTATCACCTCAAGACATGTTTCAAAGCTATGGATTATCTCTGAAATTTTTGAGTAAGCATTTGATGACTTCCTATGAGCAGAAGGATACATGTTTAAACTACAGGCCAGAATCCAGGAGCATTAACATTCAAGTAGAAGGATGAGATATAGAACTGACCCTGATGCTTCATGACCAAATATCCGAGGATATATAGAAGCCTGAGCCTGGAAAATAACAAGAATTTCATAATTGTGCCTGAAATTTTGAAGGAAAAGAAACTAATTGTGGTAGATTCATCTGAAAAGAAAAATAAAACAAAACTGGATTTTCCAACAAGAGAAAAAGGAGAAGACAAAGGAACAAAAAGGGGCCAAGATTGAGCTTTTTCTACTGTTTTAAGTGCCCCCATCCCTCCCTCCCTGCATAAGTTCAGGTTTTACTTTTGAGAACACAAAATGAGATTGGATTTAGCTAGTTTCTTTTGGAAAACCAAATGAGGTTGGGATGAGTGTGAAGCGCTATTGTCGGATTAAAGTGCAATCTTATACAGTATAACTTGCTACTAGTTCTTATGCTAAATACCTCTACCGTATCTCTAATAAAAGTAGCCCATCTCCAGTTGAGCACCTAATAATTCAATGCCATATTTGTAGAAAGAGTTTATTATGATGAACAAAAATTAAAAGGAATAATTCATGTATATGAAACAGCAGCTTAGCACAGTTCCATTCCAGCATTTGTCTTCCTAGTACGAGAACTGACTTAGATTTAGTAGCATGACATAAAAGGTATGGTTGCCCAGTTTAAAAAATAAAAAAAATAAAAAAAAAAGATGAAGTAGAGACCAAACCTGTGACAACCAAGCAGTGACATCACTGCGACAGAGAGAAGTAGAGACAACCTTAACACGAATCTCCATAGGCTGAGGTGGACTCAATTCCACCTCCTCAATTACCATTGCTTCTCCTGGTCCCCATGCCACAGCAGCTGAAAATTAAATAATCAAGATTCTTGGTAAGAAGGGAAAATCAAATGAAGGGTATTGAAATTAGTTACCAACCTTTGCAGGTGATGACACCAGGCTCTTTGTTTTGCACTGAATCAGTAAGGGACATTTTCTTTGAATCTTCTCACTTATACTGAAACAATGGAGAAATTTATAAACCTTTAGTGACGCGATCAATGCAATGAGCAGAGAATGAATTTGGACTAAGTTTTTAGGGATGTAGAGAGAAGTGAAGGAGAAGGGATGGGGGGAAGTAGGTGGGGTGGGTAGGTAAAGAAGGCAAACTCTGGCTTCTTGTTAGGTACTTTGGGTTGGTTGGTAACAACAGCTATGCTCTCTCCACGTCCCAAATGCACCATTTGACTCGAGTCTTGATTTTAAAATAGCCTAATTATGATTTAAAATTTTAAATAAATAAAATATACTTAATGGTTATAGAAAATTCATATACTTGATTCCTACTAATGAAGAATTAGGGCACAACTGAGTTTAGTTGAGTTGAGTTGAGTTTAGTTTGAGTTTTGATTTGAACGATGTTAAAATGTTCATCTTAGCCTGAAAATTTTACTTTCTTAATATTCCGTTTGAAATTAACTTATGCCAACTTTGGAAGGTAAAGTGCACTTGTCGTAAGATTCATTAACTTATTAATGTTGATTTCGACTCTTCCAAATAACGTTCATTTGCATAACTTTCAACTCACATCTTTTTCATATACAAACAAATTTTGGAAAGGCACTCTGCATTCCACTGTAAATCAACCTTTGTCTTTTGTTGTCGACTACAGCATATGAAGAACGAGATGCTTGTGTCTCGTTCTGAATGGTTCTAACAGTGCAAAACAGTACCAAGAAATCGTCCGTCCAATCCGAGAAACCATCATTATTCACTCACGTCGAGTAAACTGAGAATTTACCACTCACATATCATGTAACTAGACGATTCAAAAATTCATAGTCTGAAATATAGAAAATCATTTTTGCAACAGACAAGCTACGGGAACAGCTTTATACCCTTTTGAGGCCAAGAATATTACCATCTGTCTTACTCCTTGCTTTTCGAGTTCAAAACTCAGAACTTATGGATTTCCAGAAGGTATTGATAGTACAAACACAATGAGGAAGAAATTACCCATAGATGAAGAAATATACCAGCTTTTACCAATGGAAATAATGACTGTCTTCTGTGAAGTAGAAACGCAGAGCGCAACAAATTACAAAGAAGAACAATACATCACAAGTCATTACCATGTAATTGTAAGAGATGTACAAGATGCAAACAAGGAGGAAGCAAGGACCTATAAAGTGGCCTTGCATGAAGCTTTATTATGTCCTGGTTCCTTGCACCTGCTGCAACTGACTGTCCTCTTATCCGGGTCTAAAGTTTTGGTTTCCTTTGGTTTTTCCTCAATCTGCGATTCTGAACGGCAAGGGGGTAACACCTCGGCAGTATCTGACTCACCATCTTCTTCAACTGGTGCTCCAATCCCAGGTATCGGGTTTACAGACACAGAATATGTAGAACGATAACTTTCAACTGTAAAGTAGCTCGAGCAGTAATCATACACACATTTACCAATAGATTTGAACACAGCAACCGCATGGCAGCAAGGCAGCCCACTTTGTTTCCACTCCAGGCATGTGCACTCACGGTTTTCAATATTCACAACATGAGTCATCTCATCATGAACTTCAAATAGGACATCAGATGAGAATAGAACTTTTAGACCATGAGCTTTAACAGCTTCTTCCTGTATCTTTCTCTCTTTTGACGGAGTAAGTTTAGTGGACCAATTACTTGACTCCAATTTACGATGATCTATTAGATCACCGAGCATACATATTAAGGCTTCAATTTTTTGCATTATTGTTGATCCACGAGAATCCTCAATCAACTTGGAGTATGGTTCTGCAACATCCTCTGTTACATAATTATAGTGCTGACCCTTAAATAACAAACTTGTCCAACACTCTGGCTCAATCTGGATCACCCAATCGTATGCGTGTGAACTAATCTGTTTGATTTTCTCAGTCGAATTTTTAAAACCACCAAGTCGGACTGCATGAGCAACGGCAAGGAAAATTTCAGGTAAAACATTTCTCCCATCACCATTGAATGGACCCTTCAGATTTCTCTTGAAGCTTTCCAGAAGATGAAAAATGGAATAGCCATGACAAGCATTCTCAAACACCTCAAGAACAGAGTTCTTTAAATTCTTCTCTCGATCTGAGATAAAAGTTATAGATTGAGAAGTTGATAATGCAGATTTTAGTTGCTGCAAAAACCAACGCCAACTATCATCATTTTCAATATCTATTACTGCAAAAGCAACTGGAAAGAAACCATCATCTGCATCAACTGCAGTTGCTGTCAACAAAGTCTCCTTGTACCTTGATCTTAGAGATGTAGCTTCAAGGAAAATAAGAGGTCGGCAACCGTGCTTGAAACCATGTATTGAGGCATGAAGTGAGAAAAAGAAGCGCTGTAGTATGTTTTCATCATTTATCATAAGCTTAGCAACAGTACCAGGATTAGTATTTACTACCTTTTCACAGAACCAAGGTAACCTGTTATATGACTTTCTGTACGAACCTTGAAGTTGCTCCTTGGCATCTTCCATCCCTCGCCGTACTTGTCTATATCTCAATTTAATCCCAAAGTCACGCAAAATGCCTTCAGCGATTTCCCTGGGTTTGTCATTTGGAGAATCTCGTAATCTTTCCTTAATGATACTTACCAACCAATTCCTTGTACGATGACCAGACTTCCACGATTCGCCTCCACATGTATGCAAATAATTAAACTTTCTGATCCTAAATGTTTGAGCAGCAGGGACCCTAGATGCATGAATTCTCCAAGAGCAACCCTCTACGGTACATCTGCCACTTACACGGGAAGCATCATTTTTCTTCAACTTGTAGACAAAGCGATGAGCAACAGCATACTTTTGCAGTGCAGCCCGGAACTCTTTCACACTCTTAAAATCCTGACCGACACCAGTAATACCTTCTTTCCAAGTGGCAACTAGTTTCTCTGGCAGATCTTCATCACGAAGAGCAACTGCAGAGGAGCTGTCAGAATCATCAGGTAATTGAACATAATCTCCATCCTCCACCATGTCATTACTGTCCATTACACCAGTTGAACTTCGACTCTTCTTCTTCCGTGATATTTTCTCCTTAGAATCATTACCGGTCACGACAATGGTTGGACCGTTGGCACCAATTGTCCATGAAGCAGTGCGCCTGCGCTTCTTTACAGTATCAGCAGGGGTACTATCATAGTCAAAGCTGATTGGGCTCTGAGCAGTAGTACCAACAGCAGCACGTGAGCGTGGAGCATAGTCAGAATCATCCTCAGCAACATGGCCAGAAAAAGGGTTTGACGAAGTAGTGGCTTGACTGGAGCTATCAGCTGTTGCATTAATAGCTGGTTCCTGGCAGCTGATATGTACATCAACCAGACAATCACTTTGAATAGCTATAGGAGAGGCAGCATCAATATGAACAGTCCTTAACGGCGTAGCTTTTGAAGGTGTTGTACTCAGACCATCAGAATCAGCTGCTGTTGCAGGCGTGCCATGTTGTTTTACGTTCTCAGCCAGTTTTAACCCAATTGTCCTGGAACTGTTGTTAATTGAGATACAAAGCAGAATGTCAATTACATATATACTACCAGCGACATGCAAGTGATTAACCAATTTGCTTTAGCCGTAATAGACATTGCCTGGCAACGGACTCGTTTCACTAAATCATGTCAATAAGGTAATGAAAGTTTATAAGTACTTAAAAATAATCGTGTTAATACCTGTCAGTGTATGTGTTCAATGCTTCGTGATCAAAACCTTCCTTCCCACTGACAAACATCTCAGCTGTAACAGAATTAGCATGAAACTCAACCATTCTTTTGAAGTCCCTTTCGCTCCTTAAATTAATAAGAGTTTTCCTATTTCCTGGAAGAAAGTATTTAATTGACACTGTTTTAAGCTCCAGATTGCACATCTCTGCCAATTTTATCTTCAGATGATCAAATGGAGTATCTTGGTTGATATTTACAGCATTTGCCTCTCCTCCATTATATGACAAGGTTCCATCGGCATCACTCGCAAATTCACCACCAGACTGGCAAATTAAAATAAGCTTTCCCTTCACCATGGCATAAATCTTCAAAAACCAACAGGAAAAAAGGTCAGCGTAAATAAACCTGAAAATGGCTATTGCAAATGGTCCTCTATTAAAGTTCATCTTAATTCTATCAGCATGTGACCCTGCAAGTAAGCAAGGATCATTCTAGAGAATATGATGCATCAGCTCTCATTTGAGAAACTGGGCTCATTTGAATTTGCAAATATTCAAGAAACGTAATTAAGGCCTTATTTGTCTACACTTAGTGCAGTCTGAATATTAATCATTCAGATCTCAAATATTAAGTGCATTTATTTTTTAAGTCTGAATCTTAATTATAAAGATCTTAATCATTTAGGGGTCGTTTGGTAGGGTGTATAAGAATAGTGCTGAATAAGGTGTATTAGTAATGCAGGGATTAGTAATGCATGGGTTAGTAATGCAAGCATTAGTTATGCAGAGATATTTCTTGTTCATTGTTTGGTGTGGTGTATTAAAATTGATATCCCTTGCATAATTTTTAAGAAAATTATTATTTACAAAAATGCCCTCCATATTCTTTAGCTTTAAGGGACTTTAAGGATAATTTTGCCTTTAACCATGCTAATGCATGCATTAATAGCCTTGGTATTGCTAATACCATGGTTTTGCTATGCATTAGTTATACATAGGATAATACCAAATAGGGTGTATAACTAATGCTTGTATTAGTTATACATAGGTTAAAAAAGTATACCAAACAAGGTTTTACTAATACACAAAGCTAATGCATGCATTATTTTCTCCAATGCACTCTACCAAACGACCTCTTAGTGCGTAATGTTTTTTTATTGCAAAACCACTTAATAGGTATGAATAGCTCTAAATAATTAAGATTTATAACAAAGACTTAATTTCATTAAGATGCTATCATCCACATTCACTACTAACCGCCGCCACTGCCCACCATTATCACCTACCACCATGCACCACCGACCACCACCATACTTAACCACCACCACCATCCTCAACCATAGTCGCCACCACCATCATCATCGACTACCATCACTCACCACCCTACCATTATCGACTACCACCCCCACCATTATCAATCACCTCCACCACCATCATCAACCATAGTCACCATTGTCCATCATTATAAACTGCCACCACCCACCACCACCTTCGTCAACCCCAACTACCACTACCAATTACCACTAGCTACTACCCATAACCACCATATAGTCACCATTGTCAATCATTATAAACCGCCACCACCCACCACCACCTTCCTCAACCTCAACTACCGCTACCAATTACCACTAGCTACTACCCACAACCACCATCATTAACCAAAACTACCACCAACCACCTTCTCCAGTTGGCATCCACAAGCAACACCGTTAGCCATCACCACCACCAACTACCATATTATTTTAAAAAGATATTTTGTTTATAGAATATTAAATTAAATAGTATTTTATTTGAATTTTCTATTTATTAACTTTTAAATAAAGATAAATTTTATACATTCAAAAAAATAAATAGTCTTAATCATTTAGTATTCACATATTAATACACATCTTAAAATTCAGATGTGTCAGATTCACACGTTTTAATCTTAATACACATCTTAATATTCAGATGTGAATTCATATTCAGACATCTTAATCTTTAAAAAAAGAAATGAGGCCTTGTCTGCACATGGATTATTTAATTCTTTATCCAAATGACCACTTAAAAACCAGAAGATTTTGTTGTTGGATAACTCAGTATTATCAAAGGCAAAAAGCGCAAAAAAGCTCTAAGGTCTGTTGGGGCTTTAATCGCAAAGCGCAAATAAAGCGTGAGTTTTAAGGAAGAAAGGCGCAAATAGAGTAAAACTACAAATATGTATGCGTAGTCCAAAACTAATATCTATAAGCATGGATACCAAATATATGGACAAAAACATTGAAGAGAATTTACGATAAAGTGAAATATCAATTGTTTAGTGTCGCCTCTTCAGGATTGCGCTTATTGGCAAGGAAAAGCATGTCTTAGCGCCTTGATGACAACACTGAAGCGCCCGTTAAGCGAGACGAAGCGTTCAACGTGTTTTGAGTCTCGCTTTAGGGCTTAAGCGCGCTTTAAGCACGTCTTTGATAACACTATGGATAACTACTTAAAAACCTAAATACTCTGGTGGAGTGACTCAATCAGCCAAAAGATGAAGAAAATTGGCATGCATCCACTCCTTTTGGAGACTAATAAAATAATTACATGTAGAATGATCAGGAGGTTCAGTATCAAGCAGAATTTAAGTGGTATTCTAATAAAAATAGTTTCACAAAATCATAATCGTATTACTCCTAATCTAGATAAGTCTGCTTCCTACATAACTGCCCAGAGGTGTTTAGAGGGATAACCTAATTAACAAGGTTCAAATCTTGTTTATCAACATAAGCATGCCAAATGAATAATGGAAAGTTATGTATGCCCGAACCTATTCTTTTATTGTTTTTTTTATGAAAAGGTTACGTATGCTCGAATTTTTAGCTCCCTTTTTTTTATTATTACTTTTTAGCTCCTTTAAAGGGACAAATTAGTTTTGAAAAAATGGCAAGCTTACAAAATGATTGGGAGTAGATATATGTCGAATCCATACTCTCTTGCTTTTTTATGAAGTACAAGTAATAGAGAATCTAAACCCTTTAAATTTCAGCTGTCGCAATATAGTATTAAAAGGAAAAGCAACATCATACAACAAAATTAAAAAAATGCTAAGCGACAAAGAGGATTAAAATGCACAATGTATATCCATTTGTTTTAGTACCGTGAATTATGATAATGAGGTCTGTAAGTATCAAAAGTTAACTTTTTCATATGACTTTTTGCCTTTAATCTTTAATTAACTAAATCAAATGTAGAAGTACGGTTTCATGAGTGAGCCTTTAATCTTTAATTAACTAAATCAAATGTAGAAGTACGGTTTCATGAGTGAGTCTAGAATCTTGAGAAGTCTGCAACCCTAAACTACAACAACATGATGACATTTTCAACAGGTTCTTATTATTTGTTATACATGCCAAGCTTTAACATTTTCTTAGTCAGTGGCACTCTAGTACCATAATGTTACTCTCAAAGTTTTCTCTATTTTCACCTCAGTTACTAAGGACTTACGTAACCACATCCGGGACTCATTAGACTTGTACATTAGGTTAGGATACCACATGGACCATGGATATAAATAAATGAGAAGCAGAAACATTTTCAAGCCTTTCATTAGAAAAATAGGAGAAAACGTGTGGATCATGAATATCTTATACAAGCAAGTCTAAAATTTGTTGCAATTTTCAACTTTTCTTTCTGAAGCTAAGTTGGTTTCTGTAAAAGAGGTGTGTGTAGTGAAAGCCTGAAAGGTAGACTGTGTGACCACTAGCCTAAGGAGTGATCACAGTACGCAGAAACAACCATGGATTTCAGGAAAATTTATAGGACAGTACGACCGCACATGGTCAAAAATTATTCCTTTCTTTTCTTTTATTTAAAGAAAGTACAGCATCCAGGTAGAGCATAACTACAGTAAGCCAGCTCTTTTACATTGTACAAGCCTGAGAAATTTCAACACTTTTATCTACTTTTGTTAATCCTTTAGCAAATAATGTTGTATCTACTATCTACTGTATTTACATTCTCATTTCACACCAAAAAGCTAAAAGACATATATGTGTGTATTATAATATGCTGTTCTCCACTTTGCTGTCAAAGCATAAGTTCCATTCTTTCCATATAACCCATCTTATACACAAATACAAGCTGCGATGATCTCCCGGGAAAATTTCAGTCACAATTTTTTACTTTCTTCCTTTTCATTTTAAATTGCTGGAAGCTTCACAATGATGTTTTACCATTTCATTAAAAGGGTCGCGGGAACCAGAAAATACTAAGAATTTATTTAATGGAAATTTGGCACCTAATAGATAAATAAAAATAACTTTAAAGTAAAATAAAATAAGCAAAGCACAGTAGCTTAGCTCTTCAAGAGGAGCGAGAGCAAAAGTAATGCAAGCAGAGAGTAGAATAGTACCAATAATCACCATTCACCAAATGAAAGATTGGTTAATCAGTGTATGCACAAACAGCAAGTAGGCTACTGACTCCTGCGGCCGAGCATTGGAACTGCAAGGAATTCAAACATCTTGAAATAATTCCCCTTTGACAAACAAACAAACAAATAAAAGAGAAATTTGCTAATCTCTAGCTACAACTTCCTCATATTCCAAAACTTAATTAAGACAGCAATTACTCGTAGAATAAATCCAACTCGAGACACCAACTCTTTTGTGCTAAATGAGCCTATATCTCAAGTTAGAACAATACTCAAAGGTAAGTTTTATAGAGCGGTGGTCAGACCGGCCGGTCATCTTGTATGGGGCAGAGTGTTGGCCAGTTAAGAACTCACATATCCAGAAGATGAAAGTAGCATAGATGAGGATGTTGAGGCGGATGTGCGGGCACACTAGGATGGATAAGATTAGGAATGAAGATATTCGGGAGAAGGTGGGTGTGGCTCGTGTGAATGACAAGATGCGGGAAGCGAGACTTAGATGGTTCGGGCTCGTGCGAAGGAGAAGCCCAGATGCCCCGGTTAGAAGGTGTGAGCGGTTGGCCTTGACGGGTACTAGAAGAGGGAGAGTGCAGCCTAAGAAGTATTGGGGAGATGTGATCAGACGGGACATGGCTTCAGATTTCCGAGGACATGACCCTTGATAAGAAGGTGTAGAGGTCAAGCATTAGGGTGGTAGGTTAGGAGGTAGCTAATAAGGTTCGTCCGGGGGGGAGGTTGGTCTGATAAGGTTTTGTGCTAGGCTGCTAGCGATTATTGTTGTGTCCACCCTATCTTTTGTTTTTCATAGTATCGGACCTTATTCACTGGTTATTGTTTTTCATCTATTTTCTGGCTCTTATGCTGTTGCTATTACTCATATGGTTCTGTTAATGGTAGTGATATATTGTTTCTTTTTGTTTTCTTTCGGAAACAACCTCTCTACTCTCCGGGGTAGGGGTAAGGTTTACACTCTACCGTCCCCATACCCCACTTGTGTTAACTCACTGGGTGGTTGTTGTTGTTGTTTGTATCTCAAGTTAGAACGAATCAGACAAGAAATGTGAACTCTACCCATATGTAAATAAGTACTACTCATAGAAAACCATGTAACTGATTTGAGTAACACAAGTCACTATACAACACACCTAAGATTATTACAAAAAGAGAAGGGAAACCCCTTGGTTAATCCAATAATTTTGATTTGGTGAAAATTTCACTAAACATTGCAACAAATAATAGATATGAACCCATAATTTTAAAAATACAATGGGTTCAATGTTTAAAACCTTAAAGGTTGAACCTTTAAAGCTTAATCCTGAATCCGCCCCTTACTGCACCTTCTACTTTTGTGATAATGGGTGAATCCAATATCCTAATTTAGTCAATACTGAGTACCACTACACCTACTACTCCTACAGTGATAATAAGTGTGGCAGTCTAACCCCCTGTTTGGATAGTTGTTTCCCGGGGTTCATTATTGTATTGTTTTCATTGATACCATGTTAGTTCCATAGTTCTTAAAATTATATTGTATGGTGCTGTAAAGCCATTGTAACTCTATTGTTATATAACCACGAAAAAGCTCAATAGTTGGTCAGTTCCACCATTGGTGAACTCCTTCTGCGGCAAAATTCAACTGTAACTGTAAGTTCTATTCTTTGTCTTACTGCTCTTCTCTACTTTGTTTTTGATAGCACAAAACGTAGAAATATTAATATGCAGTGCTAATCTGATATGCAATCTGGACATGATTACCTTGAAAATATGGGGTAGGGGATGCTGATATGGTTAATATGGTTATCCTACTAATTGTTGCTATTTTTAATAGTTATATAGTAGTTAAGGGATATTTTAGTAAACTTATATTATATAGTCAAACCAAATAATAAAAATGTTATTAAACCACAACAAACGATACAATCTATCCAAATATTGTATACATTAATACAGTACAATACAAGGATACTATACAATATGATATTGTACATTATGAAACCATGAGTAACAACCATCCAAACAGAGTGTAAATATTTGTAGCTGAAGGGTGCCACTGCTTGAATAAAAATTCAAGCCCGTAGTAAATACATAACAAAAACAATTGAAAAGTAGCTAACTACGCAATGTAAGACAGGTAAAAAAAAAAAAAAAAAAAAAAAGCAATTGCAAATATACTGCAGATATGTATATCAGTCTGTATAAATTAAATCGATAAAAAGAGAGTGAACATAATGTGAGAAACTTACCTGAAAGCGTAATTGAGGAGGAGGAGGAATATGGAAGTGGGAAGGGAAATTGAGAAGAAGGAAGACGGGACTGAGAAGTGATTGAAACCCTAGAATTGGGGGTAGTTTTTGAATTACGCGTAAAAGGGGAGAGTGAATGAGTGATTGGAAAAAGCAAAGGGCGAGGGGGTCTTCCGATAAATGTACTAGTTAGCGGGGCTAGATTGATAAAAACAGTTAGTTAGCGGGGCGAGATGGATAAATTAATTAAGTACATGAAAGGGGAGTCCGGAACCAAAATGTTGCTATTTTGGACTCAAAATACATAAATAGGTGTAAAAAAAAAAAAGGTAACCATAATATATATAACGCCAGAAATAGTGGCGCTATATATTAACGGTAACAGCACCGTTAATATATAGCGCCACTATTTCTGGCGTTATACACTGTCAGAGTGATATAGCGTCAGAAATAGTGGCGTTATATCCCTCACCAAAAAACCCTCCATCTTCTTCCCCCGTCTTCTTCTTCACCATTATTCTAATCCCCACTCCAAAAATTGGTCCCCCCACCATCCGCCATTAAAAAAAAAAAAAAATTGGGGTCCCCCCGGCACATAAAACTTGAAGAACGTAGGTCCCACACTCGAGTAGAGCTTCTTGTTATTGTTGATTCACGCTTTCGGAGTCAAATTTTCGATCTATTTGCTTTCCGAAAATTCTAAATCGAGGTATTTCGATTTATTTTAAGTTGAAACTTTTATAATAATGCATATTATTTGATTTGTATGTGTTCTATTTCGGTTTGTGGTTTTATTTTCGTAATTAGCATCTTAAATTTATCCGGATTTAATTTTACTGTTTTATATAAAAATATAAATTTGTCAAATAAATTTGTCTGTTAATATTCTCATTTATATATATGTGCTTTCATGCCGTTTTGTGTTTTATTTGCAATTAAATTTATTTGTTGTTTATGTTTAGTTTAGATTATTTTTTAGCGTAGTAAAATCTAGACCTTTTTAGCGTAGTAAAACGTAGATCCTTTTAGCGTAGTAAAATTTAGAGCCTTGTAGCGTAGTAATGTGTAGTATTTTAGCTTAGAATTCCTTTTGTTTTAGTATCTATTACTGGTATTTCGATCCTCAAAATATGGAGCCCGGAACCCATACGTAAGTAATTTATACAATTAAGTTATTAAAAAATATGAATTTCAATTATAAAAAAATACATAATTATTAATGATAATTTGCCATGTGTTTTATTGTTTCGTATAACAACACAAGCATTTAAACTTAAATGCCACTTCAATTAAAATAAATTTCAGTACAACAAATAAGAAAAACATAACAACAACACAAACACAAACATAACATGCCAACATAATAAAAATACATAAAATATGAAAAATACACTAAGCACATACAGGCCATTATTTAGTCCCGGCTGCCATTTATTCTCCGCTCCAACCACTTAAATCGTTGTTCCATTTGTTCTTTTTCTTCTTCTAACTCTTTCACTCTCGCCTTCACCTCCGCAAGTTCCCGTTTATATTTTTTTTTACGTTCCTTCTGTGCTTCACAATTCCATTCTGCTCTCCATTTTTCATCTCCTACCTGCTTTAGTTTCTCCCTCATTTCTGTAATAATTCTATCGCTTTCTCTTGGCATAACCACTTATTATGAAGAGATTGCAGTTGTTCTCTGTAGCATTACTGATAACATGGTTCATCAACCCATTCATCAAACTCACACATAGGTTCGCCGGGAACCTTGTACAACTGGTTCATACAGTGCCAGTAGCGGCGTCCAACATCACGACCTTCCCAGCAACTGTTCATCACGCATGCTTTTCCACAGTAGCACATTGGTGGACGAAGAGGTTGAGCCATTTGTGAAATATTTCCTTTTAGTAAAAAAAATCTTTCTTTTAATGAAATATTTGCGTTTAGTAAATTTTGAGCACACAAAATGACTACAATGAGCCCGTTATTTATAGGCGAGAGAACACACACATAACGCCAGGTATAATGGCGCTATATTTAGCGTGTTACATATCATGATGTTGACAAGACTACTTTATGTCAGCTGGTCAGCTTTTTCAGTTCGACAAGACAACACACACATAACGCCAGGTATAATGGCGCTATATTTAGCGTGTTAAATATCATGATGTTGACAAGACTACTTTATGTCAGCTGGTCAGCTTTTTCAGTTCGACAAGACAACACACACATAACACCAGGTATAATGGCGCTATATTTAGCGTGTTATATATTATGATGTTGACAAGACTACTTTATGTCAGCTGGTCAGCTTTTTCAGTTCGACAAGACAACACACACATACTAAATAGAAATTCGTGTTACATTTAAATATTCCTAGAGGAAAAATAACGAAAAAGAAAAAAAGGTGAAATAAGTGGACCGATATTTCTTCCATTATCTAGAATCAAACCAAATATTGTGAAAGTTGAATTATGTTAATGTCAAAGTATCTTTATTTTTCTTATATATAGAAGAGTGGTAATGTGCTGGACTTGGAAAAAAATTATTTTATTACAAGCATAATTTTATTTCATAAATCAGGCAACATACACATATTAACTAATTATTACAACATCAACTCGTGGGTAGTTAGGTACACTAGAAGAACACCCACCCCGAGCTTGATTACTGTTGCCACCCAAAGGACATTTTCTACGGTCGTGTCCTGTTTGCGAGCATATACCACATTTTCGCGCATAAACTGTATCACTAACATCTATTTGGTTCCGTATACGCGTTCTCTTCTGCACCTGTATTTTACGCAAATAGGACTTGTTACACACCATTTTAAATGGTTCAGGAGGCCAATAATGCTCAGCACCCAGTGGCTGCAACTGACCACTATATGTGTTTAGGTACTTGGAAACACTATATTGTCGATCAACATAGTTGGTTGCACCTAAACCAACTTGTTGAAAGCACTTGATGGCATGTGAGCAAGGCATGTGGTAGATGGACCATTTTCCACAAGAGCATAACCTTGCAGATTCATTTACAGTATGCACATTATTACCCCGATTTTGATGGATAGCGGTGCGAACTTCAAAAACATTTCTTTCATTATCATACTGCAAAAATGAATGCCAATGTGCTCGTCGTCTGTATTTCTCGAATCTCGTCATCGGCACTGGCATAAATTCAACACCCCTTTCCATCAATGACGTTGCAGCCGCAGACCTTTCAACGAACCTCTCCGCCATTTGCTTGAACGACATCCGCACCATGGCTGTGACAGGCAATCCTCTTGCCGACTTCAATAACCCGTTGAAAGACTCTGACACATTTGTAGTCAGAGTTCCCCATCGTCTGCCACCATCCGCATGCAAAGTCCACTTTTCAGGGTCATGTCGCATTAACCAACGATAGGCTGCCTCGTCTTCTTGCCTGATATATTCCATGTGCCTCCGGAATTTATGTTGTTGGTGGTCTGTTGCTGCCATCCACATCAAATCATGCAGATCCTTATTGGGATATGCCTTCTGGAAATTGGCTTTCAAATGCCTAACACAGTAACGATGGTAGGCATAAGGTTCTTGCCATGCAGGCAAGTTCTCCACAGAACTTAAGATACCACCGTGCCGATCAGATATTAGACAGATACCGGAACGTTGTTTCACAACGTGCTCTTTCATATGGTTCAAAAACAACGTCCACGTCTCTTGGCTTTCATTGGCACAAATAGCAAAAGCTAGAGGAAATATCTGTCCATTAGCATCTACTGCCACGGCTATTAACAGCTTGATATCGTACTTTCCATAGACATGAGTGCCGTCTATGGATATTACGGGGCGACAATGCGAAAAACCATCAATTGCTGGTTTAAACGCCCAGAACACGTAATTGAATATATATTCTGGTTTACCTGCACTTCGCTCAAGCTTCCACTCAACAACCGTCCCGGGGTTAAAATGCTGTAGTGCAGCCATGTACCTAGGCAGATCTGCAAATGACTTATCCCAGTTACCATACACTATTTCAAACGCTCGTTTGCGCCCGAGAAATGCCTTTCTTTTAGTAATGGTATGGCCATGTTCCTGCTGGACTGATGTAATGCACTCTTTGATTTTATACCTTATGGACTGTTCGATGTGTGGAATAAGAACAAGAGAAATCAAGTCAATATCCAAGTTGAAGTGATTCCCGTTGAATGTGTCCATTTCGCATGTGTGGGTGGGAATGTATTTACCCACTTTCCACATACCTGTCTTCTTCTTGGTCGCACGCAACATCCAATTACATGGCCAAAACCACCTGCGGCAAACAACCTTGTATACCGTCGGACTTGACTCCCATACCTGCATCTCATGACACTCTTTTACGTTGTGCATTTTACAAGCCCTGCTTAGGCGCGCTTTATCAGGAAAAAGCATCCCCTTTGCAAGTACCGTTGGTCTAGACTCATCCCACATTGCTGTCCGAATTTCATCAAAATCCCCTGTGAGAGCTTCCACATCCGGCACGGCTGGCAAGTTATCAATGTAAGGAATCTCTCTTGAATGAAACGGCACTTCGGACTCATACACTCTTCGTCTAGGGGGGTCTCTCTTCAAATCAGGTCCTTCCTCCTCATCCTCTGCATCACCATCCTCACGAGCAAAGGGTGTCTCATCCCCAGATTCATCCGCATTGTTATCGTAATCACTGTTCTGTTCCTGACTCTGTGCATCTGCCAGGTCCCGATGTAATACATCATTTTCGGGCAATTGAGTGAGTTCAACTTGCTCGTTTTCACTGCACAACCAACAAAAATATAAGCTACTAAATTAATAAATAATTTCCATATTTTGCGTAAATCACTTCACTTACAAGTCGTAATGTGATAAAATTTCATGATGGACGTTATCAATTAGGTGATGACTACCGGATGGGCCACTTGTAAAATTCATATCCGGCCGGTACCCCCTATTAAATATGTGAGCGTTAATACAAATTCAATACAACAAAAATATACATAATTAACACAAATGAAAATTAAAATTTACCACTCGTCTTGTGAGTTATGGAAAGCAGGGTATAAATTATTTTCTCGCTGCTCATTCACCGGCGGTGATAAGTTTAAATCAAAGATAACTCTTTCATCCGGAACTTGTCCGGCAAAAACTGTTCCAGAATAACCCCCCGATGACTGGGGGTTATCTCTACTACGCACAACCTCATTTTTTGGAACGTCTTCGACCTTCACGTACATCTCCAACATTGTGATTACAAGAAAATCCCGACATTCGTCCGGAGTCCTCAAAAAATCACTCAAAGTTTCATCATCGTCGATGTTAAACTCCGAGTAAAAAGCAACCCCTTGCGGAGTGACGGAATAATGATATCTTCCGGTTACTTTAAATATCACCGAACGTTTCCTCACACTCATTTTTTTGCATAACAACGATATCAATATATCGTACTCCATTGTCAGTGGCAATTTAACATGACACTTAGCAGGTAAACTGTAGCTCACGGAGTTATTCTCCATCACAACTTCACCACCCCAATATAATGAAACTCTTATCCTACGCTCTTCAGACATAATAAAAAAATGCTGGAGAATTTAACAACAACAGACGTTTCAACAAGAGTTAAAAAAAATTTTGAATGCATTTCTATGCGATTCTAACCTCTTTATATAGAAAATGGGGAGCCGGGAAGTTTTTTTTTTTTTTTTTTACATATATAGCGCCAAATAAGTTGGCGCTTTATTTTGAATTATTGTACTGGTCAGGAAAAAAAGGATATAACGCCACTATTTCTGGCGCTATATCACTGTCAGTGTATAACGCCAGAAAACCTAGCGCTATATCACTCTAACAGTATAACGCCAGAAATAGTGGCGCTATATATTAACGGTGCTGTTACCGTTAATATATAGCGCCACTATTTCTGGCGTTATATATATTATGGTTACCCTTTTTTTTTACACCTATTTATGTGTTTTGAGTCCAAAATAACAACATTTTGGTTCCGGATTCCATGAAAGGGGGGTCTTTAATGAATTTTGGAAAAGCTCAAAGATTTTGAGAAAATGCCTAGTCAACGCTTGTAGTACTAGATGCAAAACTACTAGGAGTCGAATCTTTTCTCGTTCTTAGAAGTTGCAATTTTTCTCAAAGTAAATGTCTTACTCATAGAAAAGGTAACTTCTAACGATTTAACTAATAATGGAAATATAACGTTTTAAAAGGCGGGGGCGTGAGGCGAGGAGTTTTACCTCTTACGAAGTGAGGCGTAAGCCCTGAGACATGGGACGTAAGACCCACGGATCTTAAAATTTTACTAATTTTAAAAATTTTAAGATAGTATAAATAAAAAATAATTATAAAAATTATATTAAAATCACAAAATAATAGTAACAAATAATCTATTTAAAATATTTATAAATTATAATTCAACTATGAATAATACAAAAAGTGTGACATTATCATAATATACGAATTAGTAGCAACGTCGTTACAACTCAAACATCAAAAGTAACGAATTCGATGTGAAATCTTATATGTATCTCTTAAGGAGTAATGAATCTTGAAAGAATTTCGATATTATAATTGGATATTTTTAGAAAAAATACATATTTTATTTAATATGCTTTCTATTTGAAAGAGAATTTATATAAAAACATAATTCACAACTTAAATATGATTCTCTAGAATCATTTATTTTTTAAGTTTCAACAAGTTAATATAGGGACACATAATTCACCAACTATACCATGATAACTAATTATTTGTAAAAAGTTACTAATTAATACTGAGCTATTAAATTTATAAGTATTGTAACTTGTAAACGTGACAAAAAAAATTAGGAAAATTATTGTATAAACAATTATGGACTATTATATAATAATGACATAACAAGGTTAATAAAAAAATACTTTTAACTTGCAATAAATGAAAGATTTATTTAAAATTTACTATTATAACTGTCTTAGTAGATAACGTGCAGTAATTGTCATTTTAATTAGACATAAAATACTCTCAACTTATTGATTTATGATTAAGAAAAAAAGTAATTTTGAGTAGTCAACGATTTATTAAGAAAATTTAAGGATTTACAAGGTTCGTTACACACAATTGCATAAAGTTCTATTAGGCGGGCCAGTATGCTGGGCGTCGGGCGTGTTCGGGGCGTAAGCCCCGGCGGCCGAGGCGTAAGTCTCACGGAACTAAGCCCCACACATAAGCCCAGGAGCGTTTTATGAGTGTCCGCCCCAGGGCGAGCCCCAATTGTGCATTTTAAAACAGAGGTTTCGGGCACATTAGCAATCAACCACTAGATGAAGTTTGAGTCATTGATTATAAACTGCATTCAATTTGTCTTAACTTTGACAATAATCCGTTCTTAATTTCTTTTGAAATTCAAAGTTTCCTCTTAATTAAGTAGCAAAAGAAAAAGAAAGACAAATACAAATTTACTCCTATCGGAGTGTTGTGACGGTTAATAACGTTAACATACACTCACGGATTGGCTATGGTATCCTTTGGAATCTAACAAGTTAAATTTAGTTTTCACCAATTACAGCAAAAGAAAAAGAAAATTTCAGGAATTGCTGAAATCGTCCATTTATATGATTTCTAGTAATCTTTCAAAAAGTTCAAAACATATATTCAGGTTTCTATTTAAATCTCATGTATTTCTCTAAGTCGAGGCTAAGTAAGTTAAACAACACACAAGAAGAAAACTTGTACGTGCATGACAAAGACTATAGCTCGAAATTGCACCTTATTGGCTTTTTAAAAATGGACAACAACTGTGAAAACTCACAAGCTTACAAAAGAGATGGGCTAAGAAAATGCACTATCTGAATTGCAGTATTTATATAGAGAAACTTTCGGAAACAACTATGTTTTAGTGGTTATTAGCTAGTTGTAGCTACCATTTACTATATTATTTCCTATAGCTATGTTTTCAGGTTTTTTAGAGTGTATTAAATGTATTTAAGTTACTGTATTCATGAATACAGTAGCATTTCTCGCGTGAAACAGGGGCTTACAGCTAGACAGATTATTGTATTCGACTGTATTCACGATATGTATTTGTGAATACAGTAACGTAAAAAACGCAATTCATGGTCTATTCAACTGTTTTTAAACGGAAAGTGAATCAATTAACAAAATAGACTCCTAATATAACTCAACAAACACATTTATAAATCTGAATACATAAAATACATAAATTATATTAATTAAAAAAATATATATGAATACATTGATGGAATATAGCGAGACAGTGAATACTATGAAATACATGGAATACAGTGAGATACACTGAAATACAATGAAAAAAAAGACAATGAAATACATAGAATACAGCGAGATACATTGAACTACAACGAAAAAAAAGGTAACAGACTCTTCAAGTTGCTCTGCCCCAAACTCCGTCGTCTTTTCAAGGTAAAATTTCCTAATTAGAAAGATATTCATCTGCATAAAGGCGAAGAAGGTCGTAAGGGTGGGCATATATCGGGTAAAACCGATAACCCGAACCGTTAATTATTTACTGGATTATCGGTATTGGGTTATTGGGTTAACGGTTCGATAACGGATAAATTATTTTTTTTTATCGGGTTATCAGTTCGGGCTCGGTTTGGCAATTCTGTTATTAGGTAAAACCGATAACCCAATAAGAGTTAACTAATTTACTAGTATATACATATTAACTAGGGTTTCATAGACATAGTTCTCACTTCTAAGTTTCTCTTTCAACCACTGATTTTTAAATCAAAGTTTTTCTTGGAAGACAAAGTCAAGTTGCACTAAGATGGAACTTTAACTGGTTGTCCTGTTACTCAATCAGATGATGTGGGTGCTTTTGGCAGCAAGAAAATCTTACAATCAGAAGAAACATTTTCTATCAAAAGAATATTGATCAATTGAAGAGGAGAACGAATGCCAATAAATCTAAGCAACATAAAACAGAACTGTTCTCATTTGCAGAATCTGTTTTAGTTTTATCTTATCGGGTAAACCGATAACCGAACCGATAATGATCAATAACCGATTAACCGATAACCGATAACCAATATCTTATCGATTTGGTTATCGGTTTATAAATAATAAACCGATAACCGATAGGCAAAACCGATAATATTCATAACCGAACCGAACCGACGGATGTCCACCCCTAGAAGGTCGTCCACAGGAGGCAACTCTTTAAAAAACTTGTCAAAATCGTTGAATGACATCCCCTGCCCTAAATTTGGACTTGGTTTGCACGCAATGGACTCGGTCTCAGAAATTAATGCTCTACTACTTTGATCATCCCAATTAGTGTAGATTGGGGGGAAACGGGAAATAGTGATGAACTTGTTGGTAGTTCTTCGATTTCTTCCATGGCGTTGAGAGAGAGAAGGTGGAGAAAAATCTGAAAGAATGAGAGAGAAAAATAATACAAAGCATATTTTATGGCTTAAGGGCAAGAGGCTACCATAAATAGATAGTTGGCTATAAAAGTCAAAAGGTAGCTATGGAATATAATTTTTGAAAGGGTATTCATTTAAAATAAATAAGGTATCAACCTTTGCAACAGGAGAAAATGCTAAATGAACCAAAATGGAGAAAAGAAAATGTGACTGGCCCACCTGTATTTTATCTGTCTTTTTTCATCAGTGTTCTTTTTTATTTTGGATAACGGTGTTGTCAAGCCAACATGCACGCACGAACCACTTCACCTAGTATATGCTACTTCGCACCAGCATCTACCAACCAAAGCTTTGACGAATGGAAAGAAATAATCCAATCTTTTCATCAATATTAGAACAGTTTCTATCTGTCAAAGGTTTGGTCAGCAGATGCTGGTGCGAAGTAGCATATACTAGTTTCTATCATAATCTGTACAAGGGCTCATCAATATAGCTCAAGTAAGACAATTAGAAGCATGTGGCCACTTTATGGGTGATATCGTCTCTTCCTAGTTGTCTGAGATCTCTCTGAGTCAAGTGTCCACCAGTTTAGCACATTTATTTACAATGAGGAACTATATCTTCTATTTCCAATCTAATAAAATCACTGCACGCCATTCATCCATCTTCTGACTCTGTAGTACAAAGTAAGCCCATATAAGAAACACTAATAAAATAAGGTGAAATGAAAATGTTGCAGGAAGAAATTTGATAAAGATAAGACAAATATATGTTTCACCACTCCAAGTAATTAAAAAGCAAACTAGTTTGGTAAATGAAACGCACTTAACTTTCTTATCACCAAACTAATCCTTCATATATAAAAGTTAGAAGAGAGCCATACCATGTATTGGTTCCATGTTGTCTTCCTTGTAAACACCAAGAGGAGAGCCATGCACCGATAGAAGCACTTCTCCGGTCTTAGGAAGCCTTAGAGTTTTGGGTGTCATCCCAACAGATAACTGATTGTTATTCACCTGTAATTGCAAAATAGTTAGAGTATGTATGCTGTCGCATATACTAGTCAACATTTCAAAAAGGTTGCAGACATTCTTCTCAAAGGAAAGATTCATGCATGACTACACGAGCATTGTTCCCGTAAAACTACATGCCAGTGAAGTCTGATGGCATATCTAATATCTAATACTACCCACTGGTCCAGTTGTCCAGGTGCAGAAAAAGCAAAACGAAAGACAATGCTTCATGTTACTGGGTATAAATGTTACTTAAACATTTCTATCGAAATGCCTGTTAGGAGATATTAAATGAACACATTCATTCAGCCATAAAATACAGAAAAAGAAAAAATGATACGGCAAAAAAGTAATAACTATGTGAACTGTGCAAAAGTATGCTGAAGGGACATACACCAGGAGTCTGATGAGTATCCTGCAGCTCAAACATCTGAGCATCAGATGGCTCTTCTAGAACCTACAAATGCAGAATGACATAAGGAATAAGAAGAAAGAAACCATTACAATATATCACAGGTCAGAAAGTCTCATCAGGTGATCAATCAAAAGAAATAGGAAGCTTCATAACTGAACACTTCTACAAAAGCTAGGAGATAAGCCAGTGCCAAACGCCACAAATGACTTTAACCTCCCCTCACCTCCACCAGAAAATTGAGAAAAGAAGAAGGTTGCAGAGTACCAACTAGCTTTCTTACTTCCACAAGTTAAAAGCTAGAACTTAATGAAAGAGCATGCAAGCAAGCAAAGCAACTTGAAATTGAAATATGGTATTGCAAGATTAATGGCATGATAATTAACCATTGAAAGTCTAGCAAAAAGTAAACGAACAGCATAACATACGAATTGCTTGATCTGCATGTTTTCAGCACCAAATAGAGTTGCTTTAACTGCCAACAATTAGATAAAGCAAGTCAGAGAAAACAAACTCAAGAACCTTGAATTTCCAGAAAAGGATGTCAGAGGAGAGACTTTAAGATACCTGATTTGCTTGAAAGTCCAAATCCACCAAATGATGGTATGGCATTGGAGCAATCAGGGTAAGCCATTGACAGCTGTTGTAGAAGAGAAGCATGCAGATATCTTCCATCAAGTTGGTCGATGCTTAGATTATCATCAGCCTCCTTCCATTTCACTTCATGAGTGCCATCCTCTTTCCTAGTAACAGCCAGGTTCGGAAGGTTTTCCCTAAAAAGTTGCATTACTGGAATTTGCAGCTGTTCTTCATTGAAATTCGACCGAAGCAAACGCAGCTGAGTTAGTAATTGTTCAGTCTCCACATCACGAATGGCCCTAATTGCAGCACTTTGACATTCAACTAGAAAAAGATGGGACAATAATTGAGCTGTAATAGATAATATCAGATTTTCAATCACGTTGAATTTATGAAAAATCTCAAAAATTGGGCCAAAACAGAAAGAAAAAGTTCTGACCAAAGGTGCCTTTATGGCAGTTCAGCAGTCATTTATCATGCTGGCCACACATGGAAGAACGTTTAATAGAATGGCTAATTTCAAATGGACCCTTAACCCAAAAAAGAAAAATAAATGGACCAGCCATCTGTGGGATTAAATGGACCCTTTGTATACCTTATTGTTGCATAAAAAGGAAATACATCGTTTGGGATTAAAAAAAAATTAGATGGTCCTTGTTTGAGATTTTGAGATGAAATCGCATCCAAACAAGAAAAGTTACACTTCAGAATGTATGAGGCATGCTTCAAGCTTAAAACAGTGTTAAATTAAACAACAATAAGGTAACCATGCTAACCTAAAAGTTGATGTTTGATCAGCAGCTAACTCAGATTCTTTTTTTTACAAGCTAAACAAAGCAAAGGTGTCACTAACTTCGAGAAGTCTGCTCAAAATTCCATGAGGTTGTTAGTCTAGCTATAGTGAAGCCAGTCACTTCCAAAGTTAATGTGTTCCATATTTAACAATGTATTTTAGTTATGACGCCCTGTGAAGGTAAAAGATAACACATATCAGATGATAATATATACAACTAAGGAAGAGCAAAGTGGCGTGGTCTAATTATAATGAAGCCAGTCACTTCCATATACTCTCTTCCATCGACCTCACTTATAGTAGGATGAAAGGGATTATTAGGTGATTGCGCTGACTAGTGAATAGTAATGTTTTTCTACTCCACTCTCCAACCCTTAATATCTCATTAAAACAACAACCAACAACAACAACCTACCCAACAACCTACTCCACTCTCCAACCCCCAATATCTCATTAAAGTAAGAAGAAATAAAAAATTTACACAAGCAAGTTTCTAGATAAAAGCAAATAGTGCAGAGAGCTTATTGTTTCTTGCTATTAGAGTCGCGAGCTTGTATTTTCCTTGTCGCGTTTCCATAACTTCTTGACATCAGAGGAGCCTCATAGAGATAAAGCTAGCAAATGAACAATTTTTTCTCCTTTTTGGGCAGCATGCACTAGAAAGAAATGGAAGAACCAAGTAGCAGCACTTATTTCATGACATGAACACAAAGCACTAACACAAATGGAGAAGAAAACATACCATTTGGAATATAACTTCAAAGAAAGGCAGACAGGTTCTGCTCTAGGAATTTTGTGCCCCAGTTAAACAAATGAAACTGTTATCTGATTCCTGCTTCCAGCATTTTTGTTTTCAAAGATAAGTGGCATACTCTTCTTGTTTTTATTTTATACTTTTTGGCATAGTTTGCATATAACTGACATAATATTTACCCACATGTTAAGTAGAAGAAAATGCACAAGAAGATAGTACCTTCGTGATTGATTAATATATCATCTTCCTTTTCCACTTGATGCTTTTCCTGAGCATCCTTCGTGATTTTTTGACTCTTTTTGCAAGTTCTTCCTCTCTTTCTGGCCATTGATTGGAGAAATTTTCTGCAAACACTTTTCTCATACTATGTTAGCTTTTTGTTTTCTTTTGGGAGGAATACAGCTTTTTGTTACTATAATCTGCTACAGTTGTAGTAATATGCTGTTGTTTAGATCTAATATTGATGAAAGCTATATTTCTAAACATGCTATCGCTCAAAAATAAAAATTACATCCAAAGTGCTCATATTATGCATTAACACTTGAATTGGTTGCCACTTGGCACAACATGGAGATCACTGTCATTAGACCTAAAAGTGGTTATTTAATGTTTCATCAAAATTAAACTTATCTTGTTTTATTAAAAAATATTTGTTTATTCAAAAAGAAAGAGACTGTTCAGAAATATCTCCTTTTTTCTAGTTACATCTTCATTCCTTGGAATATAAAGCACCTTCATAAAAACAAGGCAAAAAAGAAACACCAGGTGATTTATTCCTATCCACCTCAGTTGTGGTGAACAAACTTACACGGTACCTGTTGATGGGAGGTAGTAAGTACGCAGTGGAACAATCGACTTTGGTGGACACACTTATTCCCCATGTGTGCTAATGGGGGTAGCAGGTACCCGGTGGAACAGTTGAGGTGCGCGATGGCTTTGACACCACCATCATCAAACTAATAACAGTATTGTTTCATTTTCATTTAAGTAAAATTGTTCTTCCAATCTATTACAACGAAATATGTGGGGTCCATCCCATTGGTTGGCAATAGTTGGCAATAGCCTTGTGCCTATTTTGCCTATGAATTTACTTTGGCAGAGAAGCTTGGCGGAAGATTTTACTTGGAGCCAAAGTATGCAAAGATGTGGAGGAGAATTAAAATTCTCCTGTAGCACACTTGGAGCCCAAGCTTATTTTCTCCTATAAAAGGAGGTGCTTTCTCACTTCTTAAAACACACCAAGAAAGAGTGAGGCATCACAGACAGGGTATAAGAAAATAGTCTGTGAGAAAAATAGAGAGTGTGAGCGATATTGTAGTGAGGTGGAATATCAAAAGAGGGTTATTTCTTTTGAGTGTTGTAGTGGTCTTTGTAGTATTTTACTCGGGCCTACAAAGTGTAAAATTCCTTACTATAGTGATATCGGTTGCTCCTCTCGGGGTCGTGGTTTTTTCCCTTATTCAGAAGGGTTTTCCACGTAAAAATCTTGGTGTCATTGTTACTCTTTTATTCTTGTTGATTACCGTATCTCACTGCTATATTATTATTCCGCTTTTATTACCGTGAATATTATTACTGTGGGGGATTTATTCCCAACAACTGGTATCAGAGCCAGGTTCTGCTCGTTCACAGAAATATTCTTCACTGTCGGTAGTACTATACTCGGTGGAACAAAAATGTCCGGAGTAAAGTACGAGGTAGCAAAGTTTAATGGAGATAGCGGTTTCTCAACATGGCAAAGAAGGATGAGGGATCTGCTTATCCAACAAGTATTACACAAGGTACTAGATGCTGATGCCAAAAGCCTGATGCCATGAAAGCTGAGGATTGGACTGACTTGGATGAAAGAGCTGCTAGTGCAATCAGGTTGCACTTATCAGATGATGTGGTAAATAATATCATTGATGAAGACACCGCACGTGGCATTTGGACAAGGTTGGAAAGCCTATACATGTCCAAAACACTGACAAATAAATTGTACCTGAAGAAGCAGTTATACGCCTACACATGGGTGAAGGTACGAATTTTTTGTCACATTTAAATGTGTTTAACGGACTAATCACACAGCTCGCAAACCTCGGAGTGAAAATCGAGGAAGAAGATAAAGCCATCTTGCTATTGAACTCGTTGTCATCTTCGTATGATAATTTGGCAACAACCATCCTGCACGGTAAGACCACCATTGAGTTAAAAGATGTCACATCGGCTCTTCTACTCAATGAGAAGATGAGAAAGAAGCCTGAAAATCAAGGACAAGCTCTCATCACAGAAGGTAGAGGCAGGAGTTATCAAAGGAGTTCGAGCAACTATGGTAGATCCAGAGCTCGTGGGAAGTCAAAGAACCGATCCAAATCAAGAGCCAGAAATTGCTACAATTGTGATCAACCAGGTCACTTCAAAAGAGATTGCCCAAATCCAAGGAAGGGCAAAGGTGAAACCAGTGGCCAGAAGAATGACGACAACACAACCAACGTGGTGCAAAACAATGATAATGTTGTCCTCTTTATAAATGAGGAAGAGGAATGCATGCACCTGTCAGGTCCAGAGTCGGAATGGGTGGTTGACACAGCAGCATCTTACCATGCAACACTGGTAAGAGATCTTTTTTGCAGATATGTAGCAGGTGATTTTGGAACTGTGAGAATGGGTAACACAAGTTACTCAAAGATTGAACCCTCAGGGGTTGGCTTGATGGCAATTGACTTGAGCCTTGGGGTTTGCTCCCTTTCAAGGTCTCAAGTTCGAAACCCACTGGGTGCAAATAATTTCTGAGGGCCATCGGACTGAGTAAAACCTGAATTAACCGTGGTGCACTTGCGGAAAACTCCTTGCCGAGGGCCTGTGCACCCCCGGGATTAGTCGGGTCTCTAAGAGACTCGGACATCCGGTGCAAATCAAAAAAAAAAAGTTACTCAAAGATTGCGGGGATTGGTGACATTTGTATCAAGACAAATGTCGGATGCACATTGGTTCTAAAGGACGTGCGACATGTACCTGATTTGCGGATGAACTTGATCTCGGGAATTGCTTTAGACCGAGATGGATACGAGAACTATTTTGCAAATCAAAAGTGGAGACTAACCAAGGGATCATTGGTGATTGCAAAGGGAGTTGCTCGTGGCAAGTTGTACAGGACAAATGCAGAAATATGCCAAGGTGAATTGAATACGGCAGAAGATGAGATTTCTGCAGATTTGTGGCACAAAAGAATGGGTCATATGAGCGAGAAGGGATTGCAGATTCTTGCCAGGAAATCACTCATCTCTTTTGCCAAAGGTACACAGTAAAACCTTGTGACTACTGTTTATTTGGTAAGCAACATAGAGTCTCATTTCAGACATCGTCTGAAAGAAAATTGAATATACTTGATTTAGTATATTCTGATGTTTGTGGTCCAATGGAAATTGAATCGATGGGCGATAACAAATATTTTGTTACTTTTATTGAAGATGCTTCACGTAAATTGTGGGTTTATATTTTGAAAACCAAAGGTCAGGTGTTTCAAGTTTTCCAGAAGTTTCATGCTCTGGTGGAAAGAGAGACAGGTCGAAAGCTAAAGCGTCTCCGAAGTGACAATGGAGGTGAATAAACTTCAAGGGAATTTGAAGAGTACTATTCAAGTCATGGGATCAGACATGAAAAGATAGTTCCTGGAACCCCACAGCACAATGGCGTAGCCGAGAGGATGAACCGCACCATTGTTGAGAAGGTGAGAAGCATGCTCAGAATGGCTAAACTGCCTAAGTCATTCTGGGGGTGAAGCAGTTCAGACAGCCTGTTACCTGATCAATAGGAGTCCATCAGTTCCATTGGAGTTTGACATCCCAGAGAGAGTTTGGACCAATCAGGAGATGTCCTACTCACACCTGAAGGTGTTCGGTTGCAGAGCTTTTGCACATGTATCAAAGGAGCAGAGAACAAAGTTGGATGATAAATCCGTTCCCTGCATATTCATTGGATATGGAGATGAAGAGTTCGGATACAGATTGTGGGATCCCGTAAAGAAGAAGGTCATCAGAAGCAGAGATGTAGTCTTCCGAGAAAGTGAAGTTGGAACTGCTGCTGATATGTCAGAGAAGGCCAAGAATGGTATAATTCCTAACCTTGTTACTATTCCTTCTACTTCTAACAATCCCACAAGTGCAGAAAGTAGGACCGACGAGGTTGTCGAGCAAGGAAAGCAACCTGGTGAGGTTACTGAGCAGGGGGAGCAACTTGATGATGATGTCGAGCAAGTGGAGTATCCCACTCAAGAAGAAGAACAGCCTCAACCTCTGAGGAGATCAAAGAGGCCAAGGGTAGAGTCATGCAGGTACCCTTCCACGGAATATGTCCTCATCAGTGATAAGGGGGAGCCAGAAAGTCTTAAGGAGGTGTTGTCCCATCCAGAAAAGAACCAGTGGATGAAAGTTATGCAAGAAGAGATGGAATCTCTACAGAAAAATGGCACATACAAGCTGGTTGAACTTCCAAAGGGTAAAAGACCACTCAAATGTAAATGGGTCTTTAAACTCAAGAAAGATGGAAATGGCAAGCTGGTTAGATACAAAGCTCGATTGGTGGTTAACGGCTTCGAACAGAAGAAAGGTATTGATTTTGATGAAATTTTCTCACCTGTTGTCAAAATTACTTCTATTCGTACAATCTTGAGCTTAGCAGCTAGCCTAGATCTTGAAGTGGAGCAGTTGGATGTGAAAACTGCATTTCTTCACGGAGATTTGGAAGAGGAGATCTATATGGAGCAGCCAGAAGGATTTGAAGTAGCTGAAAGGAAACACATGGTATGCAAACTGAATAAGAGTCTTTATGGGTTGAAGCAGGCACCAAGGCAGTGGTACAAGAAGTTTGACTCATTCATGAAAAGTCAAACTTACATAAAGACATATTCTGATCCATGTGTATACTTCAAAAGATTTTCTGATAACAACTTTATTATATTGTTGTTGTATGTGGATGATATGTTGATTGTAGGACAAGACAAGGAGCTGATTTCCAAGTTGAAGGGAGACTTATCTAAGTCCTTTGACATGAAGGACTTGGGCCCAGCACAACAAATTCTGGGAATGAAGATTGTTCGAGAACGAACAAGCAAAAAGTTGTGGCTGTCTCAGGAGAAGTACATTGAACGTGTACTAGAACGCTTCAACATGAAGAATGCTAAGCCAGTCAGCACACCTCTTGCTAGTCATCTGAAGTTGAGCAAGAAGATGTGTCCTACAACAATGGAGGAAAAGGAAAGCATGACCAAAGTTCCTTATTCTTCTGCCGTCGGAAGTTTGATGTATGCTATGGTATGCACTAGACCTGATATTGCTCACGCAGTTGGTGTTGTCAGCAGGTTTCTTGAAAATCCTGGAAAAGAATACTGGGAAGCTGTCAAGTGGATACTCAGGTACCTGAGAGGTACCGCAGGATATTGTTTATGCTTTGGAGGATCTGATCCAGTCTTGAAAGGCTATACAGATGCAGATATGGCAGGTGACAATGATAACAGAAAATCCACTACTAGATATTTGTTTACATTTTCAGGGGGAGCTATATCATGGCAGTCGAGGTTGCAGAAGTGTGTCGCACTCTCTACAACTGAAGCGGAGTACATTGCCGCTACAGAAGCTGGCAAGGAGATGATATGGCTGAAACGGTTCCTTCAAGAGCTTGGCTTGCAGCAGAAGGAGTATATTGTCTATTGTGACAGTCAAAGTGCAATAGACTTGAGCAAGAACTCCATGTACCATGCAAGGACCAAACATATCGATGTAAGATATCATTGGATCCGAGAAAAGGTAGAGAGTGAATCTCTGCAAGTCCTGAAGATCTCCACAAGTGAGAATCCTGCAGATATGTTGACCAAGGTGGTACCAACCAAGAGACAAGTTCGAGTTGTGCAAAGAACTTGTCGGCATGCACTCAAACTAGAAACCCCGGTGTTACCTCCTTCAGGTGAATGGGACTGGAGTGGGAGATTGTGGGGTCCATCCCATTGGTTGGCAATAGCCTTGTGCCTATTTTGCCTATGAATTTACTTTGGCAGAGAAGCTTGGCGGAAGATTTTACTTGGAGCCAAAGTATGCAAAAATGTGGAGGAGAATTAAAATTCTCCTGTAGCACACTTGGAGCCCAAGCTTATTTTCTCCTACAAAAGGAGGTGCTTTCTCACTTCTTAAAACACACCAAGAAAGAGTGAGGCATCACAGACAGGGTATAAGAAAATAGTCTGTGAGAAAAATAGAGAGTGTGAGCGATATTGTAGTGAGGTGGAATATCACAAGAGGGTTATTTCTTTTGAGTGTTGTAGCGGTCTTTGTAGTATTTTACTCGGGCCTACAAAGTGTAAAATTCCTTACTATAGTGATATCGGTTGCTCCTCTCGGGGTCGTGGTTTTTTCCCTTATTCAGAAGGGTTTTCCACGTAAAAATCTTGGTGTCATTGTTACTCTTTTATTCTTGTTGATTACCGTATCTCACTGCTATATTATTATTCCGCTTTTATTACCGTGAATATTATTACTGTGGGGGATTTATTCCCAACAAAATACTCATTACAATAAAAAGAGAAGAAAAATAAAAGGAATTCAGATGCATGTAGAGTTACTTGTGTTTTAATTATTTAGGAAACAACGAAATACTAGCACACATACACCTTTATTTATGCTTAATTTACATTTCAAACAAATCCTTAAAAGTGATAATCGTTCACAACCTCAATATTGATCTAATTTTAAGTTACTCAAGTCTTTATTTCATTACGAATTAATGAATTTAAAAATGTCGGTACCTTACAGCTCGAATTCGCCGGAGAAAGAGACGGAAACCGCCAATAGAGTGGTGTTACTTGTCCGCCTATTCAGCCAACGGAGAGACTCCGGCGTAACTTGAAATTGAATCAACCTGCCGACGTTTTTTTCCAACTTGCGAAGTTCGCAGCAGGCTTCGACTTTCGATCAGCTATTTTTGAAAATTACTGTCTCTCTCTCTCACACACACACACCCATATACACCGGACGGGGGATCTAAAAGTTTGAAAATGGCTGTGGGTTTTATGGGCGGGCTTTCATTTCCAGAAAGAGAACTAAAATTGAACCAGGTAATAGATGTACACTTTACACTAGACCAATGTCCAATAGATGCACAATATGTGTTTGAATATATAACATTTTTTAGTTAATTATTGCATAAATATTCGGTGAAGCTAAATTTTTACGATTGAATCATATCTAATTCCAACGATTTTTCGACCGTCTTTCTAGAGAACGAGAACGAATATTTGTTTGGAGGCTTAAATACACTCTACTCGCTGAATAAATCATATTCATTAGTTACTTGCCGTCATTGATTGAAAACATAATCCTATTTTAGTATAGAACATCACAGCCAACAAAGGAGAAAGCGTTAAAAGTGTGAAATTATTAATAGGTCAAGTTGGACAAGTTTCGTTACCTTTGAGAAAAAGGATAAACATAACATATTACAATTTGAATAGAAAAAAATTGAGCAAAGTTCATTTGTAGTCACTAGGGCCAAACTTATATCACCCGATAGCTACAAAATAACTTCATACAATTAACAGCCCAAAACTAATTAAAAAGCTAGCCCAAGACCACTGCCACACAAAATCCTAACTTCCTTCTCCCTCAACGATCATATGCGTTTTCCTCCGCCGAAGAAGCCGTTGTCGAATGCCTATGTATTGAACCACCAATCAACGCCCTCCGTCGTGATCCACTCCCGAGGGGACCGCCTTCCCCTGACGACCGTCGTCATTCATTTTTTTGTTCTTCTACAATTGAATCTCTGCCCACTGTTCTCTCTTTGCTTACATAAACAGTGGGCGTTCCCACAAAATTTCTTCTTCTTCAAGAATGCTCCAAATTAATGTTTATTATGGTTAAAAAATTAAAAATTATTCAGTTAACTAATAAAATATTTAGGAAATTTGCACTATTAATCCCTTAATCTCCCTATCCTCTGTTGCAAGAGTCTTGCAACAGAGTAGGGCTGGGCATATATCGGGTAAAGCCGATAACTCAAACCGTTAATTATTTGTTGGGTTATCGGTATTGGGTTATGGGTTAACAGTTCGGTAACGGTTTAGAATTTTTTCACTATTGGGTTATCGGTTCGGGCCTCGGTTTGACAATTCTGTTATTGGGCTGACTGATAACCCAATAAGGATTAATAAAATTATTATTTTACCCTTAAGTATATACATATGCAGATATGCTAGGGCTTCATTCTTTCCTATTCTTTCTTAGCCTCAACCGTATTCTTCAGAGTTCAGACTCTTCACTCTTCAATTGGACAACTGTTTGTAGTGTTGAATTATTAGTTGCAGATTTTATGGCTTAGCAGCAACATTATGTCGATGTTTGTAGTACTGGAAACTGGAAAATTGTAGCAGCAACATTATGTTGAATATTAGTTGCAGATTCTTTGTTCAATGTAGTGTTTGATTATGTTTGTTGCAGATTCTTTGTTCAATGTATTGTTGTTTACGTTGAATATTAGTTGCCGATATAAAACTGTTTTAGCACAATTAGTAAGACATGTGATACAACAATTGTATTGCAGGCGTCATATTAAGTCAAAGCTAGTAGGAAGATTAGATGTGAGGCCCCGTGAAAAATTTTCACTCAAAACCCGAACCTCGTAGCGCCTAGTTAGGGTCAGGTGATAGAAACTCACAAAACGAATCGCGAATCGTGGTTCGGACCCTTTGAGCTAATCTATGAATTTAAAAACCAAGAATCAAAGTTTTCCAGAAAAGTGCAAATATGCGGTCAAGAATGCGGTCGCATACCACGTACGCGGACCGCATTTCTGTCGTGGAGTGATTCAGGGTGTTAGCTAATTTGAGGTTGAAAATGCGGTCCATTATGCGATCGCATAACCAATATGCGGACCGCATAGTCGTCGCATAATTCCCTTGGGATTTTGTGAAGGTCAATTCTGCGGTGCATAATGCGACCGCATAACGGGTATGCGGACCGCATTTCCGTCGCATACCCAAACAGAATGTTCAGGTTTTGGGAGCCTTTTTGCGGTCCAATATGCGGCCCGCATTTCCAATTTGCGATCTCAGATCCGACTCGGGGCTTCAATTTTCTAATTTTTTAACCCGACGCCCCTATCGTTATATTCGGTATTATAGCTCATTTTGAGCATTTTTCTGGACATTTCTAGAGTGAGAGAGAGGGGTCTACGTGAGAGAAAGTTCTCCCCATCAAGTTACTCCATGAAACCTCGTTAAATCCTTGAAGATAATCAAGCAAAGGCAACTAATTTTTCATCCCAAGAGGTAAGGCTTCATAACCCCAGTTATTATTTCTACACTCAGCTATAAGGGGTCATTAGTAAGGTATTCATGGGTATAAGAATTAATTCCTTGCATGCATATCAAAACTTAGGGTATCGGGAGCTAGTAAACTAAAAAAGGGAGCAATTGGGGTATAAAAGGATAGAAATTTCTCTTAAAAAGGGGGCCTAAGATCATAATGCACCTTTAGTGTTTGATATTATGCTCGAACCGAGCTAGAATCTCAGCCTCATCTCTAATTCTCGGATTAATTTGTAATTCTTGCATAATATATCGAAGCGATAAGAGTTCCGGAAATTTGTATAGAGTAAGGGAAGCTATATTGAGGTATGTATGGCTAAAACCCCCTTTTATTAGAAATTGAGCTCCGTTGGTGTTTGCGAAGGTGTGGTAAGATTTGAATTGGTTGGTGTACTGATTATTGTTTCACATTGATGGATTTGAAATTTATATACACTTATACATGAAAGATGTGCCCCAAACGTGAGTAACGTACTATTCTTGATATTTAAATGAAGTATGAAGTATACAATCATGTGTTCTATAAGCCAAAGATCAAAACTGAGAATTTTTATGCTAACTATGTGAACACTTACATGTGCTTGCAACTTGAATTACTTTCGTATGTGCCTATGATCATAACTTGCAAGGTGAATATTGAAAAGGAAAATAATGTGATAAGTGTGGCCCAAAGTGCCCATGAGTTGAATTAGTACATGAAAGATAATTGATTCAAGTGAGATGATTAATGAGAAAGAAATCACACCTAGGCAAGGTGGCCTAGCCGATCGGGCCGTGATCGGACACCATGCTGCACACATGGTGGTGATATTGAATTCCGGATAAGGGAAATGAAATAGTGATTGAGATATATGCCTCCAATGAGGCAACCTAGCCGGTCGGGTCGTGATCGGACTCCGCTCAAGATAGTGGTGGTATCGAGAACGGTGATGAACGTATGAAAGAAATACCCCAAACTAAGCTATGGGAGTTGTGTGAATGATTGATTTGCATATTTGATTCACCTATGTGATTTACTTGTCATTGCTTGGTAGTTCTTTCTAGTAAAATGGTATTTAGTTATACATACTAGTATTATTCCATGGTACTAACATCCCTTTTGTCGGGGGCGCTACATTTTTAAATGAATGTAGGTGGCTCCATAGCGGATAGTGCCGATCGTGTGTAGCGGAGCATTCTCCTTCTCAAGATCTTGGTGAGCCCCTTTCTCCTGCAAGGGGCTATATTGCACATCTTCTTATTTTGGACTCTCACTTTTGAGGTATAGCCGGGGCCTTGTTGCCGGCGTGGTCACATTTATATTTTGTATCCTTAGAGGCTCCGTAGACATATATGTGGGTCATGTGTGGGGGTTGAATGGATGTGTTACCCGTGTTGTAAATTCTAATCTTACGTTGCCTATGAATTGTAACTTTACGGAAACCTTGGAAACTAATTTATCTACGGCTTAATGTTGTGTTCTAAAATGAATTAAAAATGTGAATATACTATCTTACTTTGTTGAATAAATAAAAGCATGGTTCCCTTGTTCGTATTGAGTTGGGTAGGTAGTGTTTGGTAAGGCTTGCTCAGTTGGGGTCACGCGATTGAGCGCCGGTCATGCCTCCCGAGGTTGGGGCGTGACATTAGCACAATTAGTTGTGTTCACCGTCCAGGACCGATTTAAGCTGTTTTATAAAACTGTTTTAGTTGTGGCGAGAAACGAGTTTTAAAACTATTTTACTCTTCTCTTTTTTGCTTAACTCTAGATTGAGTTATCTTTATCGGGTAAACCGATAACCGAACCGATAATGATCGATAACCGATTAACCGATAATCGATAACTAATATCTTATCGGTTTGGTTATTGGTTTATCATATTTGTAAACCGATAACTGATATGCTAAACCGATAATATTCATAACCGAACCGAACCGACCGATGCCCACCCATATGCAAGAGATTAATATATAAATTATTCCGTTGTTTGTACGTATATGCACGAACACCTTTTCTGCACCTGTCAGACAAACAACATATTTAGGTGTTCTAGTGATTCAAGCAATTATGGAACTGGTGCATCCTAATTCCTTACCATTTGCTTTCGCTGTTCTAATAGCATAATGTAACATGTTTCTTGCGATACCCTGCCTTCGAGCAGATTTGGCAACACATAAATTTGCAATATAACCATATCTGTTGGAGGATCTTCTTTCAATATTGCAGAAAACTTTGGCATTCACCCTTTCCTGTGGAAGAGAAGACTTTCAAATCTTTAAAATAAAAGATTACCGCTATCTTTTTTATTTAAGGTACACCAGAATACCCCCAAGAAAATCCTCTCCATGTGACAAGTGCCCAATCATCAAATCTAGAGTCCCAACAACACTCTTAAGTACTGTATGTTGATATTCTTTTCTTCATTCCTCACCTGTTGATGTCAACATCAAGAGCATTTCTTTTGAATATTGGTATATTACAATATATATATATATATATATATATATAATAGACTGTCACTATATATTTATATACAATAGACTGTCAGTATACAAAATATATACAAAAATAAACTGTCACTATACAAAAATATACTAAATAGACTGTCACTATACAATTTATATACAATAGATTGTCACTATATAACATATATATTAAATAGACTGTCACTATACAAAAGAATATACAAAATATACTATCACTATACAATAAATATACAAAATAGACTGTCACTATACAAAAAATATACAAAATAGACATTTCGGGCTATTAGATGTAATATGTTTGGACCGAAGGGCCATTTCATGTAAGTGAAAAAAAACATAGACTATTAAAATTTTGAGGGGCTGTTTTCTCAAAAAAAAAATCATCTTTAACACAATGCATAGCAACCCAACTAAACTTTTGGACTGATAAGTTATAAAAACACTTATTGGCTCAATCCGTTTAACCCACCAAAATTCGTCGCAACTCATCCATTTGACAGTCACTATACTATGTGATATCCCAGGTATGTCCTCAATATATTATATACACCTACTCTTTGAGTTCCTTTAATGTTATACAGAGGATCATGGAAGGAGAAAGAGGACGATAACAATTTGATATACAACTATTGTGTAGGGAATTCTACTTGTACACGATAAAGCTTTGACCAGTGTACATATATACCTAGTTATAACGAACTTCTACCGTCTTATAGTGCTCTTTTTTCAAATTCCGTTTCCACAGTTAAGGCGGTCTTGCTAGTTTACAGTATTTCAGCATCATCATATCAATGAAAACAAGAAATTTCTGATGTTCTTGCTTCTGGGGATGAAGTTGGAAATAAGGAGCATTCGAAATATTATGAAGTGAAATTTTGCTGCACAAACAGCAACTACAAGGAATTTGGTACACTGAAGCTACAAGCTGTTAAAATTATCTCGTGTAAAAAACTAAGTCCCCTCTGGGAAGCAAATCAAAGGCCAATCTATCTCTTGGTTCTTGAAATCCTTAGCTGCTGCACCTACCATGCTTCACAACTTGATAAAACATCAGCTTTATTAGCCCTAAAGTGCATTAACTCCTAATGCTTTAACCTTTTGCGTGTAAATGGACCCATTCAGCTTAAGACTGACAGTAAAAGAAAAGGCGTTCTCTAGCATTGCAAAAAGAAATCTAAGATCTTGTAATCTGATTTGAGGTAGAATTCAATATATAACACAGGTAAGAATAACTATGGAACAGGGGGAACATTAAAGGCCATCCTAGATACATAGCACAAACTATTCAAAAGCAGGATCAACCCAGCAAGCTAGGATGTGTATCGTCATCGCGTGAGAGCAGCAATCCACACAGCAATTAGGTTCCCTCCAAGTAGACAGTTACCGCTTAAATTTCCCTCTGATAAGGAACAGCACCGAGTGCAGAAATAATATCAATCAAGAAGGCAAGTACCCCCTCATCATAAGAAATAAGGTACTCCTGTCCTGGGTCCTCTCATCTGGTTGTTTTCTTCAGTTTCAGTGAAGAACTTCACCTCTCTCTCCTGATAAAACATAACCAAAGTAAGCACAAGAAAGACTATGAAACACAGCAAGTGAGCTAAAATTCCATATTAAAAATGTCACCGGAAAGGGGAGGCACATGAAACACATTATAAAGGACAGAAATACCAAATAGATACAAAGAGATGCAAAGCTAACACTACAAGTTCCAAAATAGAGAACAAATGTCAGGGAGAAGGTTCTGCACAGCTGCCTAAAACACTTCATACTTTCTTCACCTTCCCCAACCTCATAGCTATCCCGATACAACTGTGCAGTTCCACTCCCTGCTCAGCACTTGAAAATTTTCTCTCTATCCCAATACCTTGCTCATTGAATATAGACCATCAACTCCTCATTGAAATGGACCATCAACTCTTCTATAATGTGTATGCAGGCACAGTTCCAGTGACTAGTCTGTGTCTATTTATAGTGCATAGTAAGGCCAATCTTATAAGAAATTCTACATCTAATTCAATTCACCAAGCGAAAGCAACAAAGCAGTTCCACAAGGAGCTACATCCCTACCTTTTATACTGGAAAGGTGACACTTCCCCTAAATCATTGAGTGCTTTAGAGGGTCTCAATCGTGATTAAACAATTTCTTGATACCTTCCATTTAAAAGTTTCTCATAAGATACAAAATTAGCGATGATGTCCTAGAGAAGAATGCACTTCTGTGAATTCAATATGATGGGCAAACTTCAATTTAACCTATTATAGCACAAACTATATTTGTATACCACTACACACCATGTTGATTAAGTAGGATTGTGCAAGATCAATTAACATCATAAATTAAATAGGCATCACCTTGGAAGTACAATGATCACCAAAATATACAAACAAGGGCCTTGCTAGGTAATCCCTTTATTTCAGAAAAGGCTAACGAGAAGTCGAATAAGCATGAAAAAGAGAGCAACCGTACCATATTCTCATTGAAGCTCAATATTGAAGCAACATTTCCACAGCGGTAACAGTAGTTGGGAGCAGACCAAACCTTCATGGTACAAAAGAAACAGCGATACACTAAATAAATACTCGTCCACGTTTTAATGAATGTCCTGCTCAACACGCAAGAAAAAATATGTTATTTGGTACTCACTGTAACGAGGCCTTTATCCTGGAACATGTACTTCAGACCTTCCTGGACAAGTTGATGAGCCCGGCAAACCAGATCTAACTTATTGATGTGATTAAACTGCAAACATGGCATAACCGTATAGTTAGAACATGAATTACAGCCATAGCTAACATCTTTAACTCCACATACCTCAGTGGTAACTCTGGATCCAAACAGCCAACCTGCTCCTCGAGGACTCACTGCCCATGTTTCAATATCTTCAGGGTCACTCCACATAAGATCGCAAAAAGGCCCTTCGTGAGGAATTTCACAATTGCGTTCAATGACCCTGATCTGCATGTCATAAACAAAAAGAAGCAACATTAGCTCTTCCTTTTTTGGTAACCAAGAAATCCGTTGTTTCAACCTTTGAAACTCGGTGGATAACTGAGAAGCAGCATCAGCTCTCTGTGATCCAAATAGTGACTTCAAGCTAAAGGTAATATAATTGAAAAACAATATAAAGAGAGAACAGATAAGAATAGAAGCTCATTTTAAAGGTGAATATCTGATAATCGACGGCAAGGGAATCCTGTCGACAAGTAAACAAGGATTTCCTTGCAGTAGAAAAGGGAATACTTGAATGCCACGTTGGTAAAAGACTAAGCGGAAAGTCATAGAATCTCGAGTCACATATAAACGGTTGTTATGCAGTTGAATTGTCGGATATTGAAGTTGACACACACTGATGATCTGAAATTGCCAGACTTTCAGCATTTCTTTTTCACATTTTTTTCTCGCATATATGAGAGGGACCTGTGCCAGATTCAGAGGCTGAATAGTTTCTCGATTTCTTTGTCATCAAGTGAAGATTTATCACATCTGTACACTTACAGCATGCGATACCTGTTAAGGTAAAACCCTAAACGCATCAACATTCAAGTAACCAACCTGATCAATAGTTCTAACATCAGGAGAAAGGCCACCATGGACACATAGTACCTGCAATCCAAGAAACGGACGCATTGATAGGATGTAAAAAAAATGGCAAGCAATTACTGTCTTGTGAAGAGTACCAGAACATACTGTTCCATCTATAATTGCCGAGAGAGTGAGATAGTCAAATACATCAGTGCAATACCGCCAAGCATTCGCATTTCCATACTTCCTTTGGCATTCATCGTAGAATCCATAAACCTATTAAAAACAGGTACAATATATAGCTCAGAAAATACCATGTCTAGGAGGCACTCTTCTTTTACATAACATCCATAGATCCTTCCTATAAGGAGCAAATCTTCAAAGAAATCTAAGTGTGGACGGAACAAAGCCATAGGTAGCAACAGAAAATAAGAGCAGCAGCAACATCAATAAAAATAATAAATAGGCTAATCAAAACTCAGGTTATATATTCAAAGCGCTATCCATGCAAATAGTTATAATCCACTTGAAGCCCCCTTTAATCAGACAAATAGCTGAAAGATCGAGATGGGAGAAATCTTTTTACTATATAGGAGCAAGCTTATAAAGTAAGCTCCCTCCCGAATACATCGACATTAGCAGCACCAAGCTCAAATGCTACTACAGTTAGCTCTTCACAACACAGGCATCATGAGTCACCTTACTGATATTTCATGGCTAGATTCCAGTATACTACAATGAGCACAGAATGCAGTGACAAGTAATCATTAGAACATAGCAAAGAAATTTATAATACATTATCCAGACATAAATTCAAGAAAGAGAAACCCTCACAGAGCATAATTGCAACTCTGTTTTATTTTTTTATTTTTTTTTAAATAACCGAGGGGGGATTATCAACTGGCCCATCTACCCTACTCCCAACTTAAATACCAGGCTTCTTGTCAGCAACGGCCTCCTCACGGCCGCCTACCCACACATCCCCTTGTATCCTCAACACTGGACAAAAGCCTGGGAGCCATAATTGTCAGCTTTAGATTCGCACATTATTGGTAAAACATCACAATGACAGAACAATTGCTTCATGACCAAGTGAATCTATAACACTTGCATCGACCACACAAGCTTCCTAAGTAGCTATTATTTATGAATTTAAGCATAACATTTACTACCTGAGTTAGTTGCCTGCTCTCGTGATTCCCGCGTAAAAGAGTAATGTTGGCAGGATATCTGGTAGCAAAGAAAACCGCAAAAAGTAGACAAACAAGAATCAATTATCTACCATCTTTCAACAGACTATAGCAGGAAAATCAAAAACTACCACTACTGTACGAAATCCACATTTGTTCAACTGAAGCGGAGAAGACACTATGAGGCAATTGTAGGAGTAGGTGACAATATTAGGTATGGTGGAAAGACAGAAGGGGAACCATCATAACATATAAGAAAAGCATGAAATATTATGGAAGCCCAATGCTTCCCAAGAGCATCAAAATTGATTTGGAAAAAAGTTACTCATGGAATCCAATCGAAAAGTTAAACACAATAATTATTAAAATAGATGTGTCCTTATCACAATGTTCACAAGGCAATTAGCAATTGTGCCAAGCCAATGATTCATTCTGATACAGTAACAAAATCTTGTCTTTTTAATCAAATTGAGCTTTTTAAGGGAATATGATGTGCATGTAAATAACTTATTGACAGCTGCCAAAGAAACTGGAAACTAATGTACTTTTGGACAAAAATAAAACCCTTTTTTAGAAGTAGACGCTGATAAACAGATTTCTATTCACATTTTCATATCATACCTTGCTTTAAGGAGCAACAAAATCGTGAAAACTTCAAGACTATTGTATCCACGATCAACAAAATCTCCCTGCCCAAAGGTGAGAAATTTTACAACAGAATGATTGAACTAGAGTCGTGGCATAAGTTTCTGACAAGATAATCCGTAAAGTCCATCTCTGCGATTGGAATAAACAATGAAGTTTACCATAAAGATGTAATTTGTCTCTGGCACGTGACCTCCAGTGTGGAAGAGTTTCATTAAATCATGAAATTGGCCATGTATGTCCCCACAGACGGTAACTGGACTATTAACAGGCTGCACATTTGATTCCTCAATCAGGATATCCTTAACCTGTGAAAAAGTGCCACATGTTTAAGACACAGATGAAGCATCATAGCATGCTCTCGAATGAAATTAAATGTGATGCTGAAATGTAAGGCAGTAAACATAATTGATCGAATGCTGAAAAGATGAACCATGATCGATAACTCTTCTAGCAATCATCAATGTGACTGGTGTGCAGGAAGAAGATACCAAACTAATGCACCAACAGTATCTTATTCACATGCAATCAAACACTTCTGTCAACAATGTCTATAGAAAAAGCAATTTAGAACTCCACTTTTTGGTGTAATGCATCATACTTCAGATAGTCATCCTTTTACGTTTTATTTGACTCTCTATCACGCATATCCAGAACAGACAACTCACTTCTTTGTGTAATGACTAATGTGTCATCCTCTTATTTTTTACTCTCTATCACGCATATCCAAAAAACAAGCTCGTTTAATGTTGTACTGATAATTAACAAAAGAAGTCAAATGATTTAGATAAAACAATCGTGACATGTTGTAAGATGAAACTTACCTTCACGAATAAAAGCACATTATCAAATTCAATAAAAACTCTAATTTGCGAACTCTATTTTACATCCAAAAAAAAAAAGTAAATCACTCCCCTATATTTCCACATCCTCCAATCTCAGAAGCACTCTTATTGATCTGTAAATCTTCAGCACAGCTCTTGTCTTGGCCAGGCTAGTGTTGAACCCAATAGTCATAAGCTCAACTTATATGTGGGAGGATTAACAAGCATTCCCACATTATGTTAATTTAGGCTAATGGATGACATGGAAGCATGACTAGGGGCTACGAATCTTTACTAATAGCTATGATATTTAAACATCTCAGGTTGCAATAATCTTTGTCAGCAGCAACTACTTGAACCAGAATTTATAAGCTATATGCCATAATCTAGCTGAGGAAGAAGACAAAAGGCGGAAGGCAATGAGAGAAAAACAATAAAGATGGTAATTTGCTATAATTAATTTCTCCTCTTATTCTTTTTTTTTCTTGCTTTGTCCTCCCTGCAATCATATTTTTATCCTTCATAGCCAATTATTTTCGTTCACCGAGCTGTCCTATTCAATATTGTTCTATATTACATGCTATGCCCTACCTAAGCTTCTTATTTGATTAATAGGTTTAGACTATTTCTAGTACATTAAATTATTTTCATGAAAGTGATTTCTTTGTTGATGTTGGTAACCTTTTGAAAAATAAGAAAGAAGAGGTGAGAGCTCAGCCATAAGCCAATGTTATGGTGAGTCATAATGGATTCCTATTACAAGTTTATGCTTTTAGGGATCGTTTGGTTGCTGGTTAGAGTTATGCAGTATTAGTTATACATGTATTAGTTATGCAGGTATTAGTTATGTATGTATTAGTTATGCATGAATAAGTAATGTATGTATTAGTTATGCAAGGATTAGTCCTTGAGTAGTGCACGTAAAATAAAAAAATAAAAAGGGTCATGCTAATTGTAGTGTATATAATTCTTTCTTGGGCTTTGGTTGAATTATTTGCTATATTGTTACACACTTTATGTAGTAATTCAAAAACATCATAGCACAAGATTGTTGTTTGCTGGAAAAAACGAACAGTGAAAAGTTTGCCGGAGAAAATGGCAATGATTTGTGGTAAATTGATAGGGGTAAATTTGTCATTTCAGTATTTATCCATGTATTACTAATACATGTATTAGTTATTCCATCTTCTCCCCCGCATAAAATAATACACAGATTGACTCATAACTTATACATGTATTATTTATGTAGAATTGTAAAATGCCAAACAAACATGGTATTAGACTATTAGTTATGCCGAATTTTGTACAAAATAACTAATGGCTACCAAACATGGTATAAGTTATGTTACCCCTAATACATGAATAACTTCCCCCCTAACCGGCTACCAAACGACCCCTTAAAGCATATTTTGTACCATGTTTGTACCAGTGAAAGTTTTTCCTTCTGAATATTTTCTGGCATATTTTGTACCACCTTTACCACTATTATTAACCACCCACGTCTATGAACACCTGAATTTTGATTAAATTCCATGAAGTATGCAAAAGATTGGGCAACGCAAAGCCAAAATGAAGTTCTTACCAAGAATCTTTACCAACTCTTAGTCTCTTACAAGGTTAATGAAGCTTTGCACATTTAAAAGTGCGGGAAACAAATAGGAACCCCTTACATGGTAAACATAAGAGCTTTTAGCAGCTTTGAGTTATTTTGGTGTCTGATGAACATCAAAAGTGATTTTAAACCAAAGGCTTTTAAGCCAAAAGAAATAAGTTGGGCACCTCCAAGTTATTGCTTTTCAGCTGAAATGCCCTCTCGGTTAGACGGAGTATTTTACTCTGATATCCCTTACATTTGTTTATAATCCCCAAAATACCCTCCACTACACCAAAAGACCTAACTTCACTCTCTTTCTTTTCTTCATCTGTGACGCTTCCCAGAAAACCCCGTGCCAATTACAATCTCAACAGAAAAACAAAAACCTTGCTATGAAGAACTAATAATGTTCAATTAATTGTTAATAGACTGATTCAGTATGTTCCAACACAATTCGAACTGGAGAACATCTCAGCGACAAGAACTGTACGACAATTATAACAGAACAGTGAAGACCATGAACATTTAGGCTATATACCTTCAGCAAAAACAAATATATTGGAGGTAAATGGTGTGAGTATTAATAACTTTAAGGGCATTTCAATCATTTTAACATAAAAATTGTTCACACATTACCAAACACATCAACTACTCATTTTCAATTTCAGCACTTTAGCTCCAGCACTTAAAATGTGCTTTGCAGCATATTAAGTGCTTAAAAGTTACTTTAACACAGCTATCCAAGCCAGGCTCTAAAACACTAGAGGGGCATAGAAGACCTAAGAGCAGTTGTTAGATACTCTTCTGAATAGCATTTAAATGAAAAGTTCCCCAGACCAGGAACAATTCGAGCTCCACAAAACCGATCGAGGTACACCTTAAAAAGTATCATTAACTTCCTCAAGTAAGATGGGATTGAAACGAGCAAAGAATAAATTTAAGAAAACAAGACGCAAAGCAAAGTAAAATGAACTATTATCTCCATTAACTTTTTCCCTTTCCGGACAAACCTAACAAATAACAAATCAACAATATCTACAAGCTAAGTCCCAACAAAAACTTACTGTTTACGCTTCGAGTAATGAACCAAATGGCTAAATCGACATAACTTCTATTCTTACTAGGATAAAAACCCTAATCATTACACAACTTGTTAAACATGTGTCAATCAATCAATTAATCAACATGTCAACTATAAACCTTCTACACATATTCAGCTCTATTCGGACTAATTCCATTCCAATACTGGAAAATACTTGCGAGATGTGATAATTTTATATTAGAAAAATGAATATTAAAAAACATACGTATTCACAGAGGAGCTGAAGCTCGTCCTCAGCCAGATGCTGTCCCTCTTTAACCTTCGTTATCCACTGGTCCAAATCCATCGTCCCTCTTCTAAATCTACTGCTCTGCCCTTCGTACTTGCAATTAAGTGGCTTTGCTGCGTAAATGTACAGATTTGTCTGGAATGTAATGTGGATGGAGCCGATTGACTCAGCTGATGTTGGCGATTAATCGAGACTGGAGGAATCGTGGCTCAATCAGAAACTGCAAAACCCAACGGAGAAAACAGAGGTGCTGATTCCTTCAGATGCAGTGAGTTTTGAAACCCTGGCGAAGTGAGACTTTACGTACTATTTCGGCCAAAGATTGATGGGACTATTTTGCCCTTTCATCCTTAACCATTCTTGGATACCCCACGAGTGCCATTAGTTTTTTCTTTGTTGTTTTCACTTGTGGCCAAAATATCAGAGAGGGATTATATTCTCCTTTTATCTTACTAGTCTTAGGCCTCATTTGTTTGCACTTAGGAGGTTTGAATCTTAATCATTCAGATCTTAGATATTAAGTGCATTTATTTTTAAAGTCTGAATCTTAATTAATCAGATCTTAATTATTAGGTGTATTTTTTTTTAATTCACAACCACTTAATGGGTCTGAATAGGTCCGTATGATTAAGATCTATAACAGAGATTTAATTTCATTAAGATGCTATCACATATAAAAAAAATTACATAAATATTATATTAAAATTTTGTTTAAACTATAAACAAAAATAAAAATTCTGAAGATGGTGAGTATTAATCCATACAACTAACTCACAAAAAAAGGAAGGGCAAAATAGAACTTCTGAAGCAGTTATTATCCAACTTAATTTTTTTAATTTTGTAATTTCACCACTTCAATTTCACCAATTAAAGTATCATACTTCATTTTTAGTTACCAAGTTCATGCACTCATTACTACCAATAATATATTTTTAAATTTTACAAACTTTATTATGGAGATATGTATTAAATTAATAATTATGTATGTTGTATAAAATATATTTGTACTCATAGGCATTACAGAAATAATATTCAAAATTATGACACAAGCAAAATATTTAAATACGTAAAATCTTACTCAATTTTAAATTTTTAAATATTAAATATTTTTGCATAATTCAAATGGCGAGAGAGATTAATAGCTAAAATTTTGATTAATGCCAAGATCTAAAATATTGGAAAAATAATTAAATAACAATTTTAACCAATAGTGCATTCTAAAATATTATTAGATTTTTTGGTGAAATAAGACTTGCTCGACAAAATTTTTTGTGGAAACACATGATTATGATCTTTATGATCCTTTTGCTATGTTATCATTCAAGCTAATGATAAATTATACTTCCAGCCATCTCATAAGAATCTCAAAGTTTATACCTAATAGTCGCACTCACTCAAAATTTATGCATAATTGTCCGGCTCCCACCAAGCTGATGCCTAAATGGCTAAATATTACATCTATCAAAATTTTTAAATGCAATATAATGACAATACTATTGCAAACTTCAAAATAAATTAAAACATAGAAACTAAAAGCTCGAAGAATCCTATATCGCAAGTACATTGATAGGGAAAATATCTCTTTGTGAGTTTAATTAGGAAGAATAATGGTTGCGCTTCATTAATCGGAATTGTATTTTCAATTTGACTATTTTGAATTATGGATAACCTTCATATGTAATTCATACCACATAATACATGGCACTTTATTTTACAGTTCAAGTATTAGACTATTTAAAAGCCATCAAATTCACAACATGTTCTAACTTAAAATAAATTGTGAATTTTTGTTACTGAGATAATCATGCAAGAAGTAGATATATAATAATTATAAATAAAATAAAAGGATCACTTTTTTGGATAAAAATTTATAATATTTGACACTAATTATACCAACAATGAGACTACATAAAAAATACATTCAAATTTGAACTTTTCAGAAAAATAAAAATCAAACAAAAAANGCATACCATCCACGATCATTGTCATCTTCTGTGCTTACCAAAACCTTCTTGCTTCTCGCAGTTAAGGTAAAAACTTCATGACGTATTAAATTAGGGTGGTATAAATGGATAAGGTGAGAAAAGGTGAAATCAACAGTGGCTTTGGTAGAAAGATATCTCAAACAAGCCACTGCTCTCCATACTAAAGGACCAACTTGGGCCAAACAAATATTAAAGAAACGGCAAAAATCGAGGATGATTGGGTCAATTGGGGGATTAAAACCCAAAGTAAAAGGGTAAGTATAAACAAAAGAGTACCCAATCCTAAAAGAAGAAATTCTTTGATTTATGGAAGGAATTGGCATTCGAAGACTATTTTTCCAGTTACAATCTCCTCTGATGGTAGGGATTGTAAGTTCGGTCACAAATGTAGGATAAGTATCAGTTTTTTCTAAACCAGCAACTTGCTTTTGAAGAGATTGTCTATCACTTACAAAAGATAAATCATTTGGTACGATTTCATCAACTAAAGGTTCTCGAGAAGAATCAGGAATTTCTTTACCTTTAGAAGAAGGAGTTTTCAGAATAGAACTCCTAGAAGAAGAACCAGAAGAGTCGCCTCGAGTAGATTCTAACCCTGTACGAAGTCTGCCTCCTCTGTATCTTCTATGTCTAACAGGAGCATTGGGGAATTTGTCTAAAATTGAAACTCTTTTAGGGTTAGGGTTTGGAGACGCCATTGTTGAGCAAAGATGAATCGAAGGAGAGAAAAAGTAAGGAAGAAAAACGTTTGCTAAAGATTTATGGAGAAGAGGACAAAGGAAGAAAAGGTTAAGTATGTATATGATGGCAACCGTCAAACTTAGAAGAGTAATGATGGAAAGCCTATAATAAAGGCAACTATCACTTCGTGAATAATGGGATTAACGAAGCCTTGAAAAAGGGTGCAAAATAGCAGAATCAATCAAAAGGTGACACATGGACAGAACATTAAATGGAAAAGACAATTGAGACGACAATATTGTCATACGCATTGATTATGGCAAAAATTCCTTTTTTACGAAGGTCCACTTCCCAATTATTTAATTGATAAATAAATGGAAAGTGGGGGGACTATCTGTATTGGGAAAAAAGTTGAATTTATATTGAAGATGACGTGGCGTGACACGTGGACTGGACAAGTGGTCAAAGCGTAACAATTGGGAAAAAGATACGGGAAATGATAGGTACGGGAAGAAGAAGTGAAATAGGCACGAGAAGCAGTTTAGACACGAGTCTCGTACCAATTCGAAGTCATTTAAAGCCAGTGGGTCGAAAGGCATTGAAGACATGTATCTGAAGACAAAAAGGAGTCCAAATTCAGTATTAAATACCCGATACGTTAGAAAATTGGTATTTAATAGGAATGATTGTGTAACGGCTCATTTAATGTCATTTATTGTCCATAATTGTCTCATTAAAGCTTAGGTTTTATTCCTTTACCTAGAATCAACTATAAAAGGAGGAAGTTGTATTGGGAAAAGGATATCATTGACATCATACTGAAATAAAAAATTTTGTTTACTGCTTTATTATTATTCTCAGAAAGCCTATTATTTTTTTTTTGGTCTCTTGATTATCTGTAACCCGATTTTTCATCTGAAATTCTAGTTTTATCCAAAATATTATTTCTTTGGTGAAACAGGTAGCGATGTATAGTTCTAAATATTAGGAGTTTCTATGTAGTTAAAATAAGAAAAAAAAATTGATTTTAAAATTCTAAATAATAGAAGTTTAATTAAACTATAACTTTGTCTAATATGAAAGCTATTTTAAAGGATAGAAAATAACGTTGGTTGTTACCTCGTATTAATGAGAATAATTTTTTAAAAATGACATAAGTATTATTCAAAAGATGTGTTTAAAGGAGCTTCATATTTTTAATATAGTATCAATAGATGTAAAGTATGTGTGTTGCATCTTATTGTACGTTAGTTGGTCGTTACCTCGTATTAATGAGAATAATTTTTTAAAAACAACATAAGTATTATCCAAAAGATGTGCTTATGTTATAGTATAAAAATTCACAAAAAAAAAAGTTTTAAATGATAATTGTGTTAATCATGTTTAGGAATTTGATCTATTCTAGTAGTTCTTCCTTTAGTTTGTTCTAATACTTGCTTCATTATACAAAAATATCATAGGAATAACATTTGATTAAAAGGTGAAAATATATTTTGTGCCTACCGGCTTTGAAAGTTTTAAAAGTATAATAATTAAGGCATTTGGCCAACGTGCCTTAGAAGTCCTAATATGAATTTGTAATATATGGTTTTTAAGCTTCTAAATCTAAAAAGGTGATTTTCTTTTACAAATAAGGTATAGTACATAATCAGAATAGGAAAAAGTTTAATACATAAATTTAATTAATTTTGGCATCCTAAATATTTAAGAAACAATTAAGGTCCTAAATATTTTAAAAAAATAATTAAATGACTATTTGTTCAGTGCAAATTTTTTGATACTTCATAAAGTAAAACTGTGCAAGTTTTGAAATCGGAAAAGATTTATGTAAGGTAAACTTATATATAGTTAAAATAAATAAAGAATTTTTTTAAAAAAATAAAGACTCCTAAAACAAAAAGGAGTTGAAAGTGCTTATTTTTTACCTAATAACTTATAAAAAAAATTAATTTAAACCTAAAATAAGTACAAACTCATCGATACTTTCCAAGTATATAACCATTGTGTAGGGTTAGGCAATACCTAGAATTAGCTCAAATAATGGAGGAAATGCGCGAAACACGAACATAGTTCATTTGGCTCAAGGGGTTCTACCTCTACAGCCAACAGTACGTAAAAAAAATCATTCTGAAATGCCCCCCGATCTCATCACATGCAGTGTCAACTTCAGGGTAAATCCAGATCCACAGGAGGGCAAATACTCCATGGTGATCATACCAACCTTGAAAAGGAACACTACTCCACCACAGACATCTCAAGTGTCTCTGGGAGGGACAACTGATGTAGCTGATCTTGATACACCAGAAAACCCCAACCCTATAATGAATTTGATCGTTTGGAATTGTCGAGGCTCAAACAATGTAGAATTTAGATGCCAATTTAGGTCACTGCTGGATAATTACAAGCCAGCCTTAGTCGCTCTTCTGGAGACACGCATGCATGATCATACAATACTTAAAAACGATTTTAACTTCTCCAACATGGCACAAGTGGAGGCACAAGGAATGTCAGATGGCATAGCTCTACTGTGGAATGCAGATTTGGTCCAGGTGGATGAAATTACAATGACTACACAGGAAGTTCATTGCATGGTCCAGGTATTGCCTAACCCTACATAATGATTATTTTCTTCCATTTATGCAAATAATATTGTTCACTCACGTAGCATACTATGGCAAAATTTGAAATGTGTATATGACAATTATAAGGGCCTTGGCTAGTTTTGGG